TTGCTATACCCCTATAATGCTTATAACTAAACGCTAAAGCGTGGCAAACCTGCAGGCCAAAGGGGGCGGCAACGCCTGCGGCAGAAATTTAGAAATTGCGGGTCAAAATAGCGGGCCACCCTCCAGCCACTTTTCCCCGAACTAACTCTTGCAGCTCTCCCAGGCCCATCCCCAACTGTTTCCACCCAGGTTCTCCCAGGAAATCCCGGAAACCACACAAAAGCGCAGAAAATAACACCCAGGTTCTCCCAGGAAATCCCGGAAACCCACAAAAATGCAGAAAATAACACCCAGGTTCTCCCAGGAAATCCCGGAAACCCCACAAAATCGCAGAAAATAACACCCAGGTTCTCCCAGGAAATCCCGGAAACCCACAAAATCGCAGGAAATCACTAATTTCCTGGGAGAACTTGGGAGAACCTGGGAGAACCTGCAAGTTGGGATTGACCTGGGCAGACTTAGGCGGACCTGGGCCGACCTGGACGGGGGTAGCCTGAATAAACCACGCATATGTAAACCAGAGCAGAATTGGATAAAACACCATTAACGAATAGTGCTGAGCCAACACCGTTTTGATATGTATCCTGCACTATTCAAAAACCAGTTTTAACACCCAGAAACCCTCCAAAATTAAGACCCAACCCCCAGAATCCTGATTTATATTATATGCATTATTACAGGGGTTTTAATAATATATTAAAAAAAATAAAAATAAATTATATAATAGTCCAATTTATAAATAAATAAATTCCCAAATATATATATAATTAACTAACTAAATAATCCTTGATTTTAGGCATCTTGTTGGTTTTAAGCATATTAAAATTAACATGTAACAAAAACATGTAACAACAACAGCAACAACAACAACAACAACAACAACAACAACAAACTATAGCTTGTAACAACAACAACAACAACAACAAGCTGCAACAACTACAATAATTACAATTACGACCACAGCTACAACAGCAATAACTACAGCCAACTACAACTACAACTGCAGCTCCACTAGACTACACTTCACCACATTAGGCTACCACTATACTACAACTACAACTACAAGAACATCAACTACAGCTACTACACCACACTAGATCCAGCAGTTGTGGGTGAGGTGACCGCTGCAACCACTCCAAAAAGCACAACTCAAACCACATTTCGGTCCATCAGTGGGTTTGCTCTGCCATCTGTGATTCACAGCAAGTAACCAGCCTCTCCTATACAGTAGGTTTCCTATTTTTGAAACTTCCGCCACCACCTTGTGCGGTACTACTAGTATATACATATATATATATATATACATATATGGATTAATAACCATTAAACAGTTCGGATGTGCACACAAGAATGATTCAACATGGACCTTTTTATTCATCTGTCAGTCAGAGCCGCTGGAACCCCAGGTGGACCTGGGAAAGCGTGGCTAGCTAACGCCAGTGATGGGTATGGGCAATTTTGGTCGAGTTAGCTGGCAAAAAATGCTCATGGCACCTGCATCACCTTAGAAACAGACTAGAACGAAAAAAATCAAATACATAAACATAAAATAAAGGTAAGTGCGAAGGCATCGCACAATTCGCGCATTTTCAAGGCAGAAAACCTTCGGCTTCTTTCAGGCCAGACACAACTGCGCTGTTGCTCGCAAAAACCTTCTAAACCATTATTATTTGAATCAGGGCATTTTTCGAGGCGGCCTGAATTTTGAAAAGAAAGCATGATACCTAAAGTTTAAAAATATTATATCATTCATTTTACGCCGCATGTATGTTGACTCTGAAGGCAATGCTGCAAACATCTGCAAACCTAACCTTCCTAGATAAACCCTAAGCGCTGAGCGCATGGCCTGACAACGTGCTAAGGGCTTCACTGTGAAATCGGCTTCTTGGTTTGCGTCTTCAGCATCCCCGTCATATCGATGATGGTTACCTGGCCGCTGCTCAGGGACGGGCATGATGTAGATATGTCTACAAATCGGTGGTATGCGGTGATACCCGATACCCCAATTTTCCATAATTTTCCCATTAAAAAAATGATGCGGACAATAATAATAAATCATAATAAAATAAATCATTGGATTTTCGGGTAACTGATTTTCAGACACAGTCAAGTCATGTTTACAAGTCAATGGAATTCAATCTGCGCTGAAGCCACCGACAACACACAGCCTGTCTCACAACGCTTAAATTAGCATGCCTGCTTTGATCCAACTCGGAGACCATTGCAAGTAGATGCAAGTAGGTGGAAAGGTGATGAAATGTGGACAAATCTGACCACATCGAAATATGAAATTAGGATCTCAGACTTTAAAAACCTCAATAATTCCTGACCATGTGCACATGGCAAGCCAGCATCCCTGGCCCCCCCAAACCTTTAAATTGGCCGTGCCGATGAAAGCGCCACGGGATGGATCAGTGGAATCCTGCAATTCCAGGCGCATTCAGCTGTGGAAGATCCATCATCCACTATTAAAATCTAGATCCGTTCAGAAAACAATACCCAGATTCTAGATATCAATTCCTTTTGAACTGCTAAAGCCAATGTCATTGTTGTCCTGCAGCTTTGAAAAGGTGGCTGCAGTGCTCCTCGGGACATTGGATGACTATGGCGGGTGATCCCCCCTGGTCGCTGGGATGCCGAAGTAGGATCCCGCAGCAATACTACTAACATGCACCAACCTCGATTATGGTCCTCTTCCCTATGCTTTGGTTTCTCCCCCATTGGCCCATGGGTCAACATTTCAGGGCCGGATCGGCCCCACTGGCTGCCCGAATTTTACCCGTCCCTAATGCGTCACACACGATGCGCCGCTGAAATCTCCCCCCAATCGCTGAGTATTCCAGACGCAGATCTGGGAGATGCCTGGCCAACCACATTGAGAGATATTGTCAAATCCAAACAAGGCACACCTGCATGCTGCATACTAGTACCAGCAAAAAAAATGAAATTGAATGGGACATGATAAGCCATTGGATTTTGGGTTACCCTAGTTTCAAACAAACCTACGTGAGGGTGATGTTCAACACTGTCCGAAATTGCACATTTACTGAGCCTTGTGGCAAGTCTTGTGGCAAGTCCTGTGGCCATCTGTTTCCTTTGTAGCTGATTGAACTTCCAATTCCAGGTCCTTCGACATTTCATGTTGGGGGAATGAATCTGATTCGTGATCACTATGGGTCACTATCGGTTCCATGGATCCAGCCTCAGAATCCGAATCAGCTCCATCGTCCTGGCATGGCAGATGGAGCGGTTCAACAGGGGAATACATGGGGAATACATGGGGAATATATGGGGAATATGCTTTTGCCCAAAGCGATTTTTGAGGCCAAAACATGGAAACAAACGACTCTATCCTTAGCTTTATCTCCACGCAATGCACATCGTGGATGATAATCTTGCAACAGTATGTTTGCCCATATTGCCATGATTCGACATTTGATCCTTAAACAAAAGTAGCATCAACCATCACCATTAATCAAGTTGAAATCATGTTGAAATTGTGGACCAAATAATGGGATTGTTTATGATCCTAAACCCATCTGTAGCTGCGTGGGTCTTACAAGTTTGACCCATACCCATTTCTTGTTGGTTCAATCTCCATGATGCCCAATGTGAAATGTCCCAGTGCTTCTTCTTTGTTCTTCTCATTCTTAATGATTTAGCCTCCTAAAAACCAGATTCTTTTCTCACTGCATCAATTTCACGGTAACATTATTTTTGTTGTCCATGTTGTTTTGTTGAATCTTCCCCATTTCTCCCAATCCTCCAAAAAAAATCCGTTCGAAAATAGGTTTTCCGCATTCATTGAATTCATTGAATTCATTACCGATTTTTGGTTCAAAACGTCCAGAATTTTCTGGGCGTTGTGGAGGTTGATTTGATCCACCGTGTTTCGCCCGCCTCTGCGGCAAAGAGTTCCACCTCCACGGCCTCTGGGGTTGAGATTCCATCGCCTCACGAGTTGTGGGATTTTTTCATTTTTTCATAAGGAGGTTAATGGATATTGATGGATATTGATGGCTGGGGGGTGGTAGATATCTGGGCTACAGGTCTAGGGAAGGATACGAAGGGAACACTTTTCAGTGATAGAATCGGAAGCTTTTTTATTTTACTGGGGTTTCTATGCACTCAATACTCTATATAAATGAAACAATGATTCCAAATATAAATACAGATATTTATATAACTAAAAATAGAAATAAAAATGCAGAATTATATGTAAACATATAACAATAAATTACTTAATGAATAAATAAATGAATAAATACATAAATAGATAGATCTATATATATATACGTATATATAATGATATATAAATATAAATAAATAAATAAATATCGCATGCATTGCATTGCGTTGCGTTGCGTTGCGTTGCATTGCATTGCATTGCATTGCATGGCATTGCATTGCATTGCATTGCATGGTAGTACACTACGCTACCCTACGCTACACCTCACTACACTACACTACACTACAATTTATCACATCACATCACATTACATTACAGTCCATTGCATTGAATTACATACGTAGGTACGTGCATACATACAAACATGAAATATATACATACATTGCATTGCACTGCACTGCATTGCATTGCACAAAATTACAGTTTTCAAACAACATTATGATCTATATGATCTATGGGGATACTCAGCGAGGACTTTGGTGGATGTATCTGCAGTATTGATATTTATGGGCATTGTAGGTATGCCCAGGGGCACCTATGTTTATCATTAATCATCATTAATAAATTTCAAATCACCAATACATACCCATAAACACCAGAACATGTGGGATTTCACGCCAAGAAGATCCAGAAATGCGGAGGACCGCCCCAAGAATTTGTCTTGATGTCAGGAGTGTGGTTTCTTGGGTTCATTAAAGTTGTGTAATGTTCTGGAAAAGCATGTGTTCATGTGACTACTGATTGAGCAGCCATCAGCCAAGCAACAGAGCCATTCCAATTTTGTCACTCATCTCATTTCTAAAGAGAATCAGCAACTTCTCACTGTATTTCGTAGCTGTGTTTCTTGTGTAGGTCAGGTCAACGTGGGGGTCGTCGGATTTGTACGCCCAAAAAGGATCTGCTTCCGGTAGGACTGCTTTGCAGAAGCTGCACAGTGGTGCTTCATAGCTGTTGTTTATTTCCCCCGAAAAAAAAACCTACATTCAAACATTACATTCAACTTACATTACATTTAACCTACTTTTAATCCATATTCAACCTACATTCAACCTACATGCAACATATATTCAACCTACATTCAACATCAAGTGAACCCGCATGTCAGCACCGAAATGCGGGTGTTTTCGGTTCGCCACCAGATCTGAGGCCAGCACTTCCATTCTCCAGGAGCTTGGGGAGATCGATTCGTCCTGGGGCCGAGGATAGCCATATGAGCCATACAGTAGTGTTTAGAGTTGCGGATGAAGAATATTCATGAATGCTCACAAATGTCCATTTGATTTGGCCATTTAGAGGGCAACCGGTTGTCAACAATCCTTTGAACAACTCAGGGTGTCACAAAAGTTATCTGCGGACAGGACGGATACCAGGATAGGCAGATAATGCAAAACCAGACTAGATGAGATAAAAGCACAGCTACGTGAGGTTGAGATAACATCCAGCGTGTTTGGCAAAAACTAGACAGACTGTGACAGCCAAATCAATTGCATCCGCTGGTTCACAAAGCGTATTGATCAATACACATGCAATCACATGCATATACATTGATCAAAAAATCATAGATATTTGATATGTAAAGTGACATATGACAATACTTACATTTTTACATAGGCATATAATGAGACACCGTCCAGATTGTATTGTCCCTGCCTTCACCTGCGAGCTGCTTGAAACCCAACTCGCCATCCCAGACCCGACACCATAAATAGCGCTCCTGGACACCAAGAGATGTAAGGATATTATCTAAACAATATCTGGGCAATATCTGGACATGCCCGAACATCCCGAACAATGAAATGGAACTTGGTGCGACTGTCCAGTTCTCTTAGCGCAAGTCAAATAGCACAATACTAATCGTCAAAAAAACAGAAACAAACTGAAGAGGGGAAAAGCCAGGCCACAATATACCAAAAGAACCATCACCAAAATCAACCAAACCCAAATATGTTTCACTTTTGTTGGTGTCAGAGGTGCAGCAGAAAAATATCGCAGTCCTGCGCATCCCAGAGCATTTGCTTCCGCTCTGGGGGGCTCCATCCTGACACTCTTGCTGCGCAAATGCCAAGTATGATGTCACACTTTTGCGCCTGATGAATCTGTATACCCCATTCAGTTCAGACGGTCCCATAGGAACAGTCACCCATGGCCGACTGTTTCACCAATGCCCGCCTGCTTTTTCGGAGCCCCGACGATGCGAAGTGAAATCGGATTTCTGGGACCTGATGTTCCGGTAGCTTTTGCAGCGGAATTTGTTATTGTCCATTTCTTCAGGTGGATTGGGCTTTCGAACAAGATCTTCAACTATTGGCTGTCGGACTGCTTTGTATTTCCTAGACATGGACTTTATTCTTTGATATTTGGATATGATATATTCCAATAGTACCAATACCAAGACTCTAAGTGTGCCAGTTTTTGTTGCAAGAACTGATTGTGGCCTAATCATAGGGAATTGTCCCCCAAAATTGGTTATCGCAAATCGAGTGGTTCATGATTGCCATTTTCCGCATTGATTGTTTGGCCATACATTGAAGGTAAATCATCCATGTGACCCAGACCCATTCGGCCATGCTGGAACGGAAGATTCTGGGTCGCCGCACCCAATGCTCAGTTGGACTGAGAGTGAAAGAAAAAGGGGCCTGAGCCGGAGGATTGGCCGTTGAGCCGTGTCGTGAAGTTCCCCGAAGTGAAAGCCGAAACCCAAAAAAATCACCCGCGACCCGCCCACTGCCGAGATCATTAAATGATTATGGATGGATCTAAACTCTGATGACCTGCTGTTTGCACCAGGAAAACTAAGATTCGTTAATTTCTATTCAACCCTAGTTTTTAGGCTGTTATCGACGTTACTGGCTGGTATTGCCGTATTCAACATACACCAGCACGTATGAGATGGGTTTGCCTAAAAATAAAACACACCCAATACTGATGGTTTTTCTATGTTTTTCTCATTGCATTCCCAATTAATATTGCTCTTGATTGGGGGTAAGTGTTTTTTTGGACAAAACCAAATCATATTGTTGGCTGAAATCCCAATCTGTCCCATTCTGGCCTCAGAACATGATTGATCCCTTCCCGCTAATGTAAACTATGCCTTCGAAACCTGGTTTTGTCTTTTGATTTATTCACTTTGGCGACCCATATTTTGAGGTATTCAATACTAGGGAGATGAGCCCCCGGCATTTTTCTGACACACTCACCCGAATCCACCCTTATTCCCTTCCAAACTGAATCAACAGCTACATACAGCTACAAGATCTGGCAGTCCCACCCCAGCATTCGCAGGTCTCGAGCATGGTCAACCTCAACGCCAGCAGAGGGCCAATCCCATGTCGAAATATGATGGGTTTGCAGAAGAATGGCGCTTGTCATGAGGCGATTATCAGCCACAAGATTTTGGTGGGTTCTATTTTCGGACAAACCCATATCGATAGGCAAATAGACAAATTCTGTCGTTTCGACATTTAGGACGAAAAAACTTTTGATTTGTGATATTTGGGCTTAAAGCTTCTTCAGTTGGTTATGCCCCCCGCACCGTGCAATAAGTGTCGAGCGGGGAAACCTTCCGAGGGGGATAGCTGGTGCCTTGCCTGTTCATCCTTAGAGGTGGCTCAGGGCTTGTTCAAGCGACGCTGGGTGCACGCAGGCATCCGTGCAGTCGCTGAAGAATCCGCGCTATCCAGTGCTCGATTCATCAAGGCTTTGGCAAACCTTGATGCTAATCTACCTGGGCCTGTCGCTGAGCGCCAGGAGCTCTTGCTGACACCAAAGGCTAAGGTTGAGAAACCACAGCGCTCAAGAAGCCCACGCAGAGACGAACGCCCTCCTATTCAACGTTCTGCAACTACATTCAGAACATCTTCGCCCAGAGAGGACAAGGAAGGAGATAGGCATCGAGGTCGTGAAAGAGAGCCTGAACACCGCGAACCTTCAGAAGGCAGTTACAGCGAGGAGAGCGGCGAGGAGGAAGAGCCCAGGGAAGAAGAGCCTGTGGTCAAGAGGGAGGAAGAGGCTCGTACAGAGCGAAGACGTTCAGAGAAACCGCCTGAGCCACCGTATCCACCGAGGGAGCCAACGCATCACCACTCCCAAGGAAAGAAGAAAAATAAGAAGAGAGGAGGTACAAAGCATCAGAAACATTGGAGGGAACGTGATAATCCCTTCAAGAAGAGCCATCGTCGGCTTCCCCGTGACCAGTTGGAGCTTGCTCAGAGCGCCAGGCACGGGTTCGAGCGACGAGCCTGAGGGAAGACCGCTGGCCTTGTGGCCTTGCGGTAACAATGCCGCCAGGCGTTGGATCCCCAGAAGAAGTAGAGGAGTCTCCCCCTGGGAGAGAAGGAGAGATGTTTGGTGCACCAGCCTCTCCAGAGGAAATCATGGCGAGTCTTCGAGAAAGACCCGCGCCTACGGCACCGGTGGAGTACAACGTGGAGGAGGCCGCTTTTTGGCAGAGCCGTCACGTGCCCCCTGGTTCCGTGATAGAGTTTTCGAGCCCAACTTCTGGTGCGGCCGTCCCGCCGGTGGTCGCTGTGTTGGTGTTCGAGTCAAACTCGCTGGAAACAGGAATGTGGCTGAAGGTCAAGGTTATGGGTTCGAGCGATCGCGACGAAAAGAAGGAGGCCGAGAGGTATTTCAAGAATTTTCGCCGGGAGATACATATTTGCAACCTTGCTTCGGGAGTTTGCCCAGACATCGACACCGATGCGATGCACCTGAAACAATTCAAATGGTACCCACCAGGGGACTACGATGCGGCCTGGCTTACACATCAAGCCAAGAAGGCTATCGCCGAGGGAAAGAGGATGGAGTTGGAGGCCGCCGCAAAGGAAGGACGCCGCCGTCTTTCACCACCGCGCGACGGTCTCGGTCATGGGGTGTCGCTGGTGGAGAAGCGGTTGGGAGCCTTAAGAAGCCCGCGGCCGGGGAGAGTTACCTTCGCCGCCGATGCGGCGCCTCCCAATACAAGGCGACCGGGCGGTGCCCTGCCGAGCCCCCGGGATGGACGTGGTGGCCTTGCCCCTGTCTCAAGCTCACCGGCGCTGGCAGTTCAAAGTCAGGTCAAGGAAGAGGCGGAGGTGATCAGCGATGGGTCAGACAAAGACAGCAGCAAGAGGAGGAGGAAGAAAAGGAAGTCCAAAGACATGGCAGCGGTTCTGCTGAAAGCAGCATCATCAAGGACCTCGACAACAGCCAACAAAGAAAAGAAAAGGAGGAGCAAATCGAGGTCGAGATCCAAGAAGAGAAAAAAGAAGCGGCATCAGAGGTCTTCGAATTCGGGCAGCAGGAGCCGTTCGAGCAGCAGGTCTTCGACGAGCGACGAGAGCCTCATGGCCCCTTTGAAAAGGAAGTCATTGAAGGAGCCGGGGTCGGTTTTCAGGATGCTGGAGGACAGCGCCGTAGAGCGGCTGTCGGCCGATGGCATAATGGACGAGGATCACCTGACAGCGGGACAGCCAGGCCAAAGGCCGAAACTGCTGACTTATTTTCAGCTGGTCCTGAAGCCCAACCTGGATGCCCGCGGGAGAGATTGCCGGGAGCTGGCAGTTCTGGCTCGAGCTCTCGATTTGCTCCGCGACGGGCGTCTGGGGGAACTGGCAGACGTCCTGGCAGGTCGCATGATGGCCATCGACGCATCGACAAAACAGGGGTGGCAGACAGCACGACACCTGGAGGTGCACAACGACGAGCAGGACAATGTCGCGCCACCTCACGTCCTGCTCTCCGCGCAAAAGCATGCGCGTTTGGTCGAAAAGGCCGGAGGAAAAGGATCATGGCCAAGGACACAGACCTGGGGCTCCTACGATTGGAGCTACGATCAACGGCCCAAAGGAAAAGGAAAAGACTCAAAGGGGAAGTCGAAGAAGGGCAAAGGAAAAGGCAAAGGACCCAAAGGGAACTGGGGCTTTTGGGGCACCGAAGGCAAGGACAAGCCAGGAGACAAACCAAAGAAGGGCGAAGGAGAGACCTGACCCTCTTTCTCCGTGCGGCGAGCCGACTCCCGCTGGGGTTAGGAGGTGTTAGGTCGACATCACCGGCAGGTTTGGCAACACCTGCATCAACCATCCTGACCTCCGCCTTTGTACCCGTTGAGGATCAGGTGGAGAACCTGCTCCCCGGTGCGCTGGGCCGTCCCGCGCAGGGGGGTGATGGCAATATATTGACTTCATCGACAGGAGTGGTGACCCCTGCTTCAACCTCATTGGCCCCCGCTTTTGTGCCTTTTGAGGGCCAGTCTTTTTTGAATTCGGAGTCTACAGCTGGCGGTGAAGCCTGTTTTTCTGCTGTGGACGACGCAGGCCTTGGACGTGCGCCCCGTTCTTACATGGAACTTTTGGGGGCGCTGACCACGAGCCGCTGCTTGGCTGAATTGGGCATGAAACTGGCATGGGGGTATAGCCAAAATTTGGTCACGCTGGGAAATTCCCGTGCTCGACCCACACGGGCCACCGTTCGCGAGAAGGGTGGCCTGTTCCCCCTGCCAGTTATGATCCCAAGTGGTCTGGACTGGGACGCTGCTGGTTTAAAGTGCAGCGAGCGCTCCGGGCTATCAGTTCAGTGCTGGACAGCGGTTGCATGCGAAGCTATCAATGCTTTGTACGGCCTCCCCAATGTGGGAAAGACTAGAGTGCCGACCAAAATCCATAGAGCTGTTTTGGCGGGTCTGGAAGATAAGGTTTGTAGGTTTTTGCATGGGGATTCTGTTCCTGATTTCAACTTTTTTGATGCTGTCAAAGACCTTAGAGAGAAACGGCTTTCTTATACAGGGGAAGAAATTCAACCACCTCATCCATTATCAGCTGCACAGATCATCAAAGGATTGCCCCCTGTGGGCCACGGTGGAGCTATACCAGTAACGCCTTTTCTTAAGGGTCGCACACGATTTCTCATGGAACACCCTGAAGAAAGTTTGTTGCCTGAATGCGACAGAGGAACCGCCCCTGTAACTGCAAAGGTTCATGTTGAAAAAGGAGGTGAAGTGGAAATTTTTTCATTGCTTTATGAGAGGGGGATTGTTGACTGGATTCCCGCTGACCAAGCATTTTGCGATTCTAGGGGTGCTTATCTCTCCGGGCTTTTCGGTGTTGTTAAGCCAGGGAGATACACCCCTTGTGGAAAACCGGTCTTGCGGGTTATAATGAACCTGGTTCCTGTTAACGCTTTATTCAGGGTGCTTCAAGGCGATATTCATCTTCTTCCAAATGCTACACAATGGCTTCCACTTTGTATTTCCCAGGGTGATGAGATATTTCTTTCACAGGGAGATATGGCATCTGCATTCTATCTTTTTTCCATTCCCCCGTGCTGGCAACCCTATTTATGTTTTAATTTTAAGATTCAGGGTTGCAAGCTGGGTCTGAGTTCACTTGAAGATGATGTTTGGTATAGGCCTACATGTCGAGTGTTACCGATGGGATGGTCAAGCAGCGTCGGTATAATGCAAGCAATTTCCAGAGAGATCCTTTTGGCAAAGGGGCTCCCCCCCGAGTTAGAGCTGAAGAAAGGGGGAAAGATTCCCCCGTGGTTTGCCCAGGTAGCGAGTGCTGACAGTCCCCAACGTGCTTGGTGGCAAGTGTACTTGGACAATTTCATGTCGGGGGAAGTTGATCGTGGAGGGGAGCCTGGGATAAGTATTCAACTGCAGGATGCTGCGATGAGGGCTTGGAGCACCTCTGGGGTTCTCACAGCTGAAGATAAGCAAGTTTTGGGCAGCAGAGAAGCAACAGAGTTGGGGGTTCGCTTTGATGGGGCCAGAGGGCTTTTGGGAGCCTCGCCACATCGACTTCTTAAGACGATTTTTGTTACTCTACACCATATACTATGCCGAAGATGGAGTAAGCGCGAGGCACAAATGGTTTTGGGCAGGTGGATTTTTATCCTTCAATTTCGCCGAGCGGCGATGGGGGTTTTATCGCGAGCGTGGCAAGTCATTGAGAAGCCCTGGCCCTCTTTTGTGGACATTAATATCTTACGAAAAGAGTTGCTCCAACTTATCTTTTTGGGTCCCCTTATCCAGTCTGACCTGACCTCACATTATGACGGAGAAGTGACTTGCTCAGATGCATCTGAGTCTGGGGGAGCCTGTGCAGTGGCTACGTCTCTGACATGGTCTGGGAACAGTTTGGTCGGCAGCTTGAGTGACAGGAGGCTGCTCCCCATCGAATGTCCTTTCTTAATTGTTTCCCTTTTTAATGGTATTGGCGGGGCATTCCGTCTTTATGACGTGCTTGGTATCCATCCAGTGGGACGGATCTCAGTCGAAATCGACAAGTATGCAAATAGAGTCACACGTAGTACGTGGCCGAACGTACTTGAATTGCATGACGTGGAGCTTATTGACAAGGCTGAAGTACAAAGGTGGGCAGAGATGTATCCTCATGTACAAGAACTTCATTTCTACGCAGGTTTTCCTTGTATTCATCTCTCTTCCGTGCGTGCATATAGGCAAAACCTGGACGGCGAGGGATCACGGCTCTTTTGGAAGATGCTTGAAATCCTTCTGTGGATCCAAGAAGTTTTTTCTCCATTTTGCAAAGTCAAATTTTGCGTGGAAAATGTAGCTTCTATGGACGAATCAGCTAGAAGGGCCATCTCAGATGAGCTGGAGGTCTGCCCAATCAAACTTGACCCGAGTGACATTTTGCCCTTCAGTCGACCTAGGTTTGCTTGGACTTCTGAACCATTGTATGAAATGCAGGGGATACGCCTCGTCAAGGAAAAGGAGTACGTACGAGCATACATGGAAGGTGACACAGTTGCCAATTCTCAGTGGATTCGACCCGGTTGGTCTTGGACAGCACCTCCAGGGACTTGTTTCCCGACTTTCATGAAATCTATACGACGACGACGACCACCACCACAGCCTGCTGGATTATCTCGAACAGACGAAGCTACTCGAAACAGATGGCAACAGCATGAATTCAGATACCCGCCTTATCAATACAGAGAATGTTTTCTTCTTTCTTCACCTGGGCGCCTACCTAGAGTACTGGACTCCAGTGAACGGGAACTTTTGCTGGGATTTGGCCCGGGTCATACAGCCACTTGCATGAGTGCATCAGAGATGAAGCGGAGTCTCACGGATTATGAGGACATCCGCTGTTCTCTCAATGGCGATAGCTTTTCAATTCTTTCTTTTGCGGTTATTGCTAGCAGTTTTTCAGCTGAGTTCGTGCCCAGGTTGAGCCCGGACAAGATAGTAAAGCGATTGGGATTGGCACCAGGGGCTTCCATTCACCCATGCACTGAGGTACCAATGAGCCGTTGGCTCTCATATGGAGGAGATCCAGAACGTCAACATCAGCTGGGAGAATTGGTCAGGCATCTTGGCTTGACCATTAACCACACGGGGGCCGATGTTCGCATCTGCACCGGGGAAGTTCTTACTCACAAAGCTCAGTCACATGCTTCGGCTCGAGCATGGTGGTGGCAGTGGAAGCACCTGTTCAAAATCAAATGGCTGTTCAAATCGCATATTAATTACCTTGAGATGAAAATGATTCTTCATACCTTATTGTGGAAGTCTCGTTCTATTTCCAAAATCAATTGTCGCTGGTTACATTTAGAGGACAGTATGGTTTGCTTGTATATTCTTTCCAAAGGCAGAACTTCAAGCCACCTTCTTCAACCACTATGTAATCAGATTGGGGCGGTTCAATTGGCGATGGGATCAGTGTTGTTACATTCACATGTTTCCTCGTCCGAGAATCCCACGGATGCTGCAAGCCGTGATTAGATCCTGATGCCGAGAAACCGCCCTAGGGTGGTGCTGGCTGGAAAGACTCAGAGAGAAAGACGGAAGCAACGAGCTGGAATAAGGCTCAAAGACTTTACAATTTCAGCTCGAACTCGCGCGAGGTATGAAGCAGCAGTCTCTCGTATATTGCCTTTTTTAGAAGCACAAGAATCCCTCGCTGATCTCGATGGGGTCGTCTGCGAATGGATAGAGTTGCAGTGGTGCCGAGGCGAATCACTCGGCCATATCGCTGACGCACTTAGTGGAATCCATTTCTTTAGACCTGACCTGAAGGGTTGCTTGCGCCAAGGCTGGAGGATGTTCAAGTCATGGCGTCAGATTGAAGCCCCACAGCGGGCTCCTCCTTTGACATGGGGAATCGTCACAGCACTTATTGCCCGTGCAGTTGAAAAAGCTGATGTTGTTTTTGCGGCCATCATTGGCCTTGCTTTTCACTGTTTGTTACGCACAGGAGAGTTTTTGGCCTTGCAATATAAAGATTTGGAGCTGTCGTCCACCACGGGTATCTGTTCCCTCCTTAGTAGTAAGAGTGGGCTACGCACTGGTACGGAGGAAGCCGTTGCAATTCGAGACCCGCTGGTTCTAAACCTGTTGCGGACGGCTCAAGAGTTACATCAGCACTGTCCAGGTCAACGGCTGTGGCCACACTCGGCACAATCCTTCAGGGACCGTTTCCGCAGTTATTTATCATTTTTTCGGCTGTGTCATCTGGGCATGAAACCTTATAGCCTCCGTAGAGGAGGGGCTACATTTTTACTCCAAGAGGGGGTACCCCTGGATGTTATATTACTTCGTGGAAGATGGAAATCTTTGGCTGTTGCCAGAATATACCTCCAAGATGGCCTGTCTCAAATTCCGCACCTTCGAATTTCAAAGTCAGATGCAGCAAGACTGAGTGTTTTCTCTGCTCAGTGCCCTTTAACGGCCTTACGACCGTGCTAGGGTCCGTGGAACAGTTTCAAAAATTTCAAAAGATCTTTTGTGATCATATGAGCTGTCCCTGGAACATCTCATGCCGGTTGAGATGCAGCTGGGCAGTCTCCAACGTGCAGTTGTTTCTTTGACCATGCCATATTGGTCAAACAGAAAGTTTTCAGACCATGCCATGTTGGTCTGTATGTTTCATAGCAGAGTTTTTCATGCATGACTGGCTGACGCCAGATGGTTACTGAAAGCCACCGGGTTCAGCACAAGGAAAAAGTGCAGTTGAGTCCTATTCTGTCGTTTCGACATTTAGGACGAAAAAACTTTTGATTTGTGATATTTGGGCTTAAAGCTTCTTCAGTTGGCCCGAACCACTCCCTCCCAAATGGGCTTGGCTTTGTCGAGTGGAACAGTTTCAAAAATTTCAAAAGATCTTTTGTGATCATATGAGCTGTCCCTGGAACATCTCATGCCGGTTGAGATGCAGCTGGGCAGTCTCCAACGTGCAGTTGTTTCTTTGACCATGCCATATTGGTCAAACAGAAAGTTTTCAGACCATGCCATGTTGGTCTGTATGTTTCATAGCAGAGTTTTTCATGCATGACTGGCTGACGCCAGATGGTTACTGAAAGCCACCGGGTTCAGCACAAGGAAAAAGTGCAGTTGAGTCCTATATATAGGCAACGTGTTTGAATCGAATAGACAACAAACCTGAGAAGGGGGGAACGAAAGCCAGCATCCCATCTACCCCTATTTTCCACCATACTTTTCACCCAGCGACTCTTCAATACATTTCACCCATATACTTTTCACCCAGAGATTTTTCACCCAGAAACTCTTCTTGCACAGACTTTTAACCCATATACTTTTCACAAAGAGACTCTTCACCCAATTTTTTTTCTTGCACATACTTTTCGCCCATATACTTTTCACCCAGAGATTCTTCACCCAGAAACTCTTCTTGCACAGACTTTTCACCCAGAGACTCTTCACCCAGAAACTCTTCTTGCACATACTTTTCACCCATATATACTTTTTACCCAGAGACTTCACCCAGAAACTCTTCTTGCACATACTTTTCACCCAGATACTTTTCACCCAGAGACTCTTCACCAGAAACTCTTCTTGCACATACATGTCACCCATATACTTTTCACCCAGAGATTCTTCACCCAGAAACTCTTCTTGCACAGACTTTTCACCCAGAGACTCTTCAACCAGAAACTCTTCGTGCACATACTTTTCACCCATATACTTTTTACCCATATACTTTTCACCCAGAGACTCTTCACCTAGAAACTCTTCTTGCACATACTTTTCACCCATATACTTTTCACCCAGAGAAACTCTTCTTGCACATACTTTTCACCCATATACTTTTCACCCAGAGACTCTTCACCCAGAAACTCTTCTTGCACATACTTTTCACCAATATACTTTTCACCCAGAGACTCTTCACCTAGAAACTTTTCTTGCACATATTTTTCACCCATATACTTTCACCCAGAAACTTTTCTTGCACATACTTTTCACCCATATACTTTTCACCCAGAGACTCTGCACCCAGAAACCCTTCTTGCACATACTTTTCACCCATATACTTTTCACCCAGAGACTCTTCACCCAGAAACTCTTCTTGCACATCAGTTCACCCATACACTTTTCACCCAGAGACTCTTCACCCAGAAACTCTCCTTGCACAGACTTTTCACCCAGAGACTCTTCTTGCACATACTTTTCGCCCATATACTTTTTACCCAGAACTCTTCACCCAGAAACTCTTCTTGCACATCAGTTCACCCATATACTTTTCACCCAGAAACTCTTCACCCAGAAACTCTTCTTGCACATACTTTTCACCCATATACTTTTTACCCAGAGACTCTTCTTGCACATACGTTTCACCCATATACTTTTCACCCAGAGACTCTTCACCCAGAAACTCTTCTTGCACATACTTTTCACCAATATACTTTTCACCCAGAGACTCTTCACCTAGAAATTTTTCTTGCACATTTTTTTCACCCATATACTTTCACCCAAAGACTCTTCTTGCACCTACTTTTCACCCATATACTTTTCACCCAGAGACTCTTCACCCAGAAACTCTTCTTGCACATACTTTTCACCAATATACTGCTCACATCTTTTCACCCAGAGACTCTTCACCCAGAAACTCTTCTTGCACAGACTTTTCACCCAGAGACTCTTCACCCAGAAACTCTTCTTGATCAAACTTTTCACCCATATACTTTTCACCTAGAGACTCTTCACCCAGAAACTCTTCTTGCACATATAATGGTCCCACATTGGAGCCTCAATTTTACTTTTCACCCATATACTTTTTACCCATATACTTTTCACCCAGAGACTCTTCTTGCACATACTTTTCACCCATATACTTTTCACCCAGAGACTCTTCACCCAGAAACTCTTCTTGCACATACTTTTCACCAATATACTTTTCACCCAGAGACTCTTCACCTAGAAACTTTTCTTGCGCATATTTTTTCACCCAGAGACTCTTCACTCAGAAACTCTTCTTGCACATACTTTTCACCCATATACTTTTCACATCCCCTACTAGATTAAGTGGGGGGGTTGGGTGCCCCCATTTTATAGTACTAAAACGGGGGCACCCATCCCCCCCCCGGAGTGGGACCTCTATAAAATGGAAACACCCAAGGTCACAAAACAGGTGCACCTCTATAAAATAAGAAAATTATTTGAAAAAGCAAATATTTACAGCTACAAATTTACTGCAAAACCCTCCATCACTATAAAATGGGAGGCCCCAACGTACCCTGGAGCCTAGCCTTAAAATGAAGGAACTAGCCAACTTTCTACTATAGAATAGGAACCCCCAACCCCCTGTATCTTACAACATCCAAAAATGAATGGTTTTTTGAGGGGTTGGGTGCTCTGATTTTATAGAGATTACATGCCCTTCCTGGTAGGATTTCCTGGGGTTGGGGGTTTCCATTTTATAGTGCCGCAGCCTTCCCACATCCTCCCACCATCATCGCCCCAAAGACACCACATTTTTCTTTAGCCCGGCACGTCCCAAAGCCAAGGGATGCTGACACAAAGACCAAGACTTATTTTCTGGTAGTTTTCCATTGGTCCCATGCTGTCCCATGTCCCAAAAGCCAAGGGATGTCGACAAAAAGACTGGTATCGACGGAGCTGGGTATTTTGGGGCAGCTGGGTATTTTTTTGGGTGGGATGGAGATAGTTTTCCATTTTATAGTGGTCCCATGCTGTCCTATGTCCTGTCGACAGAGCTGGGTATTTTTGGGGCAGCTGGGTATTTTAGGGTAGGATGGAAAAAAAAATCCATTTTATAGTGGTCCCATGCTGTCCCATGTCCCAAAAGCCAAGGGATGTCGACAAAAAGACTCCAAGCTGGGTATTTTGTTGTGTCGACAGAGCTGGGTACTTTTGGGGCAGCTGGGTGTCTAACGCTTACCCAAATGCACCTTCCACAATCCCTACAGTTGCACCGTATAAACGGTTTTCCTCGTTTCTTCCATGTTTTTTTTTCTGTGCTTCTACTCCATAGTGGTCACACATCGAAACAGCAAGTTTTCCATTGCTTTTCCATTGTTTCACGCATGCTTTACGCCGTAAACTTTACCAATAATGGTCCCACATCGGAGCCTCAATTTTACTTGGCATCATTTTACCCTCTCCCTATTCTTTCCACCGTTTCCATTGCTTTCCAATTTTTTTTCCATTGTTTTATGTCAAAGTCCCTCCTTTTTTCCATTGTTGTTCTCATCATTTCCCCCTCCTTTCCCATTTTTTTCCCATTGTTGTCTGTCATATTCCCTCATTTTTTCTACTGTTTTTCTCATCATTTTCCCCTCCATTGCCAGCATCCCATCTACCCCTATTTTCCACCATACTTTTCACCCAGAGACTCTTCAATACATTTCACCCATATACTTTTCACCCAGAGATTCTTCACCCAGAAACTCTTCTTGCACAGACTTTTCACCCAGAGACTCTTCACCCAGAAACTCTTCGTGCACATACTTTTCACCCATATACTTTTCACCCAGAGACTCTTCTTGCACATACTTTTCACCCATATACTTTTCACCCAGAGACTCTTCACCCAGAAACTCTTCTTACAAATACTTTTCACCCACATATTTTCACCCATAGACTCTTCACCAAGAAACTCTTCTTGCACATACTTTTCACCCATATACTTTTCACCCAGAGACTCTTCACCTAGAAACTTTTCTTGCACATACATTTCACCCATATACTTTCACCCAAAGACTCTTCTTGCACCTACTTTTCACCCATATACTTTTCACCCAGAGACTCTTCACCCAGAAACTCTTCTTGCACATACTTTTCACCATTATACTGTTCACATCTTTTCACCCAGAGACTCTTCACCCAGAAACTCTTCTTGCACAGACTTTTCACCCAGAGACTCTTCACCCAGAAACTCTTCTTGCTCAAACTTTTCACCCATATACTTTTCACCTAGAGACTCTTCACCCAGAAACTCTTCATAGTGGTCACACATCGAAACAGCAAGTTTTCCATTGCTTTTCCATTGTTTCACGCATGCTTGACGCCGTAAACTTTACCAATAATGGTCCCACATCGGAGCCTCAATTTTACTTGGCATCATGTTACCCTCTCCCTATTCTTTCCACCGTTTCCATTGCTTTCCTATTTTTTTTCCATTGTTTTATGTCAAAGTCCCTCCTTTTTTCCATTGTTGTTCTCATCATTTTCCCCTCCTTTCCCATTTTTTTCCCATTGTTGTCTGTCATATTCTCTCATTTTTTCTATTGTTTTTCTCATCATTTTCCCCTCCATTGCCAGCATCCCATCTACCCCTATTTTCCACCATACTTTTCGCCCAGAGACTCTTCAATACATTTCACCCATATACTTTTCACCCAGAGATTCTTCACCCAGAAACTCTTCGTGCACATACGTTTCACCCATATACTTTTCACCCAGAGACTCTTCACCCAGAAACTCTTCTTGCACATACTTTTCACCAATATACTTTTCACCCAGAGACTCTTCACCTAGAAACTTTTCTTGCACATATTTTTCACCCATATACTGTCACCCAGAAACTCTTCTTGCACATACTTTTCACCCATATACTTTTCACCCAGAGACTCTTCACCAGAAACTCTTCTTGCACATACTTTTCACCCATATACTTTTTACCCATATACTTTTCACACAGAGACTCTTCACCCAGAAACTCTTCTTGCACATACATTTCACCCATATACTTTTCACCCAGAGACTCTTCACCCAGAAACTCTTCTTGCACCTACTTTTCACCCATATATTTTTCACCCAGAGACTCTTCACCCAGAAACTCTTCTTGCTCAAACTTTTCACCCATATACTTTTCACCTAGAGGCTCTTCACCCAGAAACTCTTACATATAATGGTCCCACATCGGAGCCTCAACTTTTTTACTTTTCACCCATATACTTTTTACCCATATACTTTTCACCCAGAGACTCTTCTTGCACATACTTTTCACCCAGAGACTCTTCACCCAGAAACTCTTCTTGCACATACTTTTCACCAATATACTTTTCACCCAGAGACTCTTCACCCAGAAACTCTTCTTGCACATACTTTTCACCCATATAGTTTTCACATCTTTTCACCCAGAGACTCTTCACCTAGAAACTCTTCTTGCACATACACTTATACTTTTCACCCAGAGATTCTTCACCCAGAAACTCTTCTTGCACAGACTTTTCACCCAGAGACTCTTCACCCAGAAACTCTTCTTGCACATACTTTTCACCCATATACTTTTTACCCAGAGAATACTTTTCACCCAGAGACTCTTCACCTAGAAACTCTTCTTGCACATACTTTTCACCCATATACTTTTCACCCAGAGACTCTGCACCCAGAAACCCTTCTTGCACATACTTTTCACCCATATACTTTTCACCCAGAGACTCTTCACCCAGAAACCTTCATTTTTTTCCAGTGCTTTTCCATAGTTTTGCTCGACATCATTTTCCCGCCCAGATCCACCTCGGAGGGCGGACCAGGGGGGAATCGATACCCCAACGTCACCCAATTGCCACCTGGTACATAACCCTAAAAAAATTTACCTGCGTCCACCTTTTTTACCACCTATTTTCCGCATTTTTATCCCACTTCGGGCGCTCTGCCCCCAGACCCCCTTAACTCACTTTGTTCGCAAAAATAACTTCGCCTAGCCTAGCGGCTGGCTTTCGTGATTATGGAAGTAGCTTGACATATATCCATAGATACATAGTTCAAGGATTGGTGAGAGTGCGTTAATCGATGATTTGGGGAACAAATATACACTTGATTGAGTCTAACATAGTCTAACCCAACGCGATCTTTCCTACAGGTGAAAAATAATCTTGCAGCATTATTCATGAAACATCCCCAGCATGCCCCCAAATCTGGAAAAACTTTCGCAGTTCCAACAATGCAGGAACCTTTACAGGAGAAACATCAAATGGCAGGCTCTGCTTGCAAGGACTTTGCTTTGGCATTCCCAGTAGTCTCTTCTAGAACAGTTTGCTTGTACTCGAGAGTTTGGCATGGCATCGCATGTCCCAAACTTTGAAGCAAACACGCGAAACGCACACGAACATGTAACTATGTAGTATACATAAACAAATAAATAAACAAATAAATAAATCAACCAAATTCAACAAATAAATATATAAATAATTAAACATATAAACATATACCTATATATATATATAGATTTACCTGGAACACCATAATCCCATTTTTTTTTGTCAATCGACCTTGATCATTTTTTGGTCGTTACGGCTTTGATCGTCTGGAACCACTTGTGTGAGAGTTGCTACGGTTTTTTTACGGCCCTTTTTCAACAAAATGTCGAAACAAAATACGGTTTTGCTACGGGTAGGACTGCAATGTTCTTTTGATTTGACCATTTTTTGAATTATCACAGGCAAACATTGGTAAACACAATATTTGACCAAAACACCGATCGTTACATTTTTTCCCATGATGACCAAAAAATTTGGTGTTTTTGGCTTTCCAGGTATATAGTATAATTATACACAAATATAGTTCTATGATGTTCTATGTAATTACGTGCATTGCATCGCCGGCAAAACCACCAGTGTCACAACCTTGGCAGCCATAGCGACCAAGATGGCCGTGATCTGAGGCCCTGGCTCCAATATCCACACTTTGGACATCGACCATCACGAGACCTACAAACAAAAAAACAAACAAATGTAGGCAGTTTCAATAAGATTTTTCAAATTTTCATGACCGCACATTTTCTGAACAGAAATTGCCCAAATACAGCATCAATTGATCAATCCAGCATCCAACCACAGCAAAACCTCCAAAGAATCACCTGGCAAAGCCCGGCCTTGATGGCACGTTGTGCCCATGTTGCTGACCTGGCAACCAGAAACCAAGCTGGCTACTTATCCAAGGGCTACCCTGCGGCACCTGGGCCATCTGCTAAATCCTGTTCAAATCCACAGTTCGTTGGGCCATAGGGGTTGCAATATTCAAGACTCCATCTTCATAATTTTGGTCAATTTATATGTCGACATGATTCAAAAGTACAGTGTTGCTACCACATGGAAAACATCAAGATGCAGCCCACGAACCCGAATGAAGTCACGTAGAACACTTTTGTGAAACAAATTATTTGAACCTTCCTCCCCTGCTACCGTACCAGTGCGTTGTAGACTGTGGAATGTGGAATGGGGTGAAGTGCAAAGTGCAGAGTGTGAAAGTGGAGTGTTGAATGGGGAATGCAGTGTGTAGTGTGAAGTGCGGATTGTGGAGTGTGGAGTGTGAAGTGTCAAATGTGGGGTGTAAAGTGTGAGGTGTAGAGTGCCAAGCAAAAAAGGTGGAAAGTGTGAAGTGTAGAGTGTGGAGTGTAAAGTGTAAGCATGGAGTGCGGAGTGTAAAATATGGGGTGTACAGTGTACAGTGTGAAGCGTAGTGTGTAAAGTGAGAAGCTGTAAAGTGCCGAGTGTAGTGTAGAGTGCGGAGTGTAGTGTGTAGTGTAAACTGTAGAATGTAGAGTGTGGAGTGTGCAGTGTAAGTGTGGGGTGTAAAGTGTGGAGCGCAAAGTGTAGTGTGCAAAATGTGGAGAGTCAAGTGTAGAGTGTAAAGTGTGGAATGCAAAGAGTGAAGTGTAAAGTGTATAGTGTGGAGTGTGAAGTGTGAGGTGTGAAGAGTGAAGAATGGAGTGTAGAGTGTGGAGTGTGGAGTGTAAAGTCTAGTGAAGTGAGGTCTGTAAAGTGTGGAATGAGAGTGTAAAGTGTGTGTAGAGCGTAAAGTGTAAAGTGTGGAGTGTAAAGTGTAGAGTGTAAAGTGTAATGTGTAAAGTCTGAAGTGTGGAGTGTAGATTGTAGAGTGTGGAGTGTCAAGCGCAGAGTGTATAATTAGTGTGGGGTCTGAAGTTTAAAGTTTGGAGTGTTGAGTGTAAAGTGTAGTGCAATTAATGCTCAAGTGTGGAGTGTAGAGTGTAAAGTGTAGAGTGTAAAGTGTGGAGTGTAAAGTGTAGAGTGTAAAGTGCGAAGTGCGGAGTGCCGAGTGTAAAGTGTCAAGTGTAGAGCGTGGAGTATGGAGTGTAAAGTGTAGATCGTGGAGTGTAGAGTGTAGAGCGTGGAGTGTGGAGTTTAAAGTGTAAAGTGTGGAGTGCGAAGTGTGGAGTATAAAGTGTACATTGTGCAGTGTATAGTGTGGAGTGTAGGAGTGTAGGAGTGTAGGGGTGTAGGAGTGTGGCGTGTAAAGTGTAAAGTGTACAGTGTAAAGTGTAAAAGGTAGTGTGTAAAGTGTAAAGTGTAGAGTGTGGAGTGTAGAGTGTAAAGCGTAAAGTGTGGACTGTGGAGTGAAAAGTGTAGAGTGTAGAGTGGAAAGTGTAGAGTGTTGGCTGTGGAGTGTAAAGTGTAACGTGTGGAGTGTACAGTAAGGAGTGTAAAGTGTAAAGTGTAAATCTGTAGAGTGCGGAATGTAAATAAAGTGTAGAGTTTGGAGTGTAGAGTGTAAAATGGGAGTGTAGAATGTAAAGTGTGCAGTGCCAATTGCGGAGTGTATAGTGTGGAGTGACATGTAAAGTGTGGAGTGAAATGTAAAGTGTAGTGTGGAGTGTAAAGTGCAAAGTGCGGACTGTAGAGTGTAAAGTGTGGAGTGTAGAGTGGAAAGTGAAAAGTGGGGAGTCTAAAGTGTAGAGTGTGAAGTGTCAATTGCAGAGTGTATAGTGCGGAGTGTAAAGTGTAAAGTGTGGAGTGTGGAGTGTAAAGTGTAGAGTGTGGAGTGCAAGTGTAGAGAGTGGAGTGTAAAGTGTAGAGTGTAAAGTGTAGAGTGTAGAGTGTGAAGTTTAGAGTGTGGAGTGTAAAGTGTAGAGTGTGGAGTGTAAAGTGTAGAGTTTAAAGTGTAGAGCGTATAGTTCGGAGTGTAAAGTGTGGAGTGTAGAGCGTCTGCCATGCAACATGACATACCACACACGACGGATCTGCACCAAATACTGCCTCTGCCACGCAAAATGACACTCTCACCATGTCCCACACCTGCCAAGCGATTTGCACGTTGTCACCACTTGACGCAGCCCTGACAATGCGATTCGCAAAAGACACGCAACAGCGCACGTCTAAGACACGCAACAGCGCACGTCTAAAGTGCTGCGCCTGCCACGCAAAATGACGAAGGAGGTCTCCAAAGTGCTGCGCCTGCCACGCAAAAATGCAACTCATCTTCTGAAAACACTGCATTTATTGCGCCTGTCACACAAAAAGACTTTGGACACTTTTTCAGACACGTAAAATGTCAGGAAGTGCCACGCCTGCCACACAAAACAACATTGAAACCTGTTTGGAAACTGCAAAAAGGAGAGGTTTTGCAGCTTCCCCCATAGACACGGTGACGCTACAAGAAAGAGACATGTTGGAGCCTCAAAACGAGCGTTTCGTGCGAGATGTCCTCAAATATCTCAAAAATTCACACTTTGTAGCTACAAAACCGCCGTTTTCCTACTCAATTTTCATCACATGTTGGTTGCGAACGGTTGCGACACGTCTAGCGAACACACCCTCAACCCCCAAACCCCCAGAATGAAATGGGAACCTTGCTACGCATTCGGGAATTATAGACAAAAGTCCGTGAAGATCCCACATTCCGCAAATTCACTCTTGTCTTAACGTAGCCCCAGGAACCTCCGGAAACTCTGGGCTCTTTCCAGTCAAGGGCACTGACCTGCAGCTGACGTGGGAATCAATCGGGATGGTCTGGGCAATCTGGGCAAAAGAAATGGACATTCTGGCTGACTAGTGGATAAGCTGGGTGTAAAATATGCGGGTCAAGCTGTCCAGTTGCCCCTAGCGGTTTTAGCGATGCCTCTGACTGACTTGAACAAAATTGCCTTTTACAACACTTGCTGATGAGTGGGTTACTTGAAATCATTAGGGACCTCCTGCGGCGGAAAAAGCTGTGGTTTCAATTCAAACGCGCCGTAGCTCAAAACCCACTCCCTCCAGCATGCAGGTTGCAAGAGAGTTTAACCGCGTGGCCCCAAATACCATTTATCAGCCTGGTTCCCGCAATTATAACCTCAATCAATAACATACCAATCATCGTACATACCCCCTTCAAGTATCTTCCAGTGGTAATTAAAAATCAGTGATCCACACTCCCGTGGCCCAGCGTGGCCCAACCACGTGCCTCTTAAGCTTGTCATTACAAACCTTCTCCCCTCCTTGATACCTAGCAGCAGAGTCTGGAGTCAGATAATAACTTGCGCATGTGCTGGCGACAAGTGGGTCAAAAGACATGGGCTGGGGAAAACAGCGAAATCACTCAGACCCTGTCACCAAGATGTTCATACATCCCCAACCTGTGTGGGAAGAAACTTCCTGCCAAACAAGGAACAGGACGCCAGGCATGACATGTGCTGCAGGATGCACAGATGACTTTTCTGTTCCTTTCCAGTCCGCATTGGTGGCCCAAAAAGTTGAACCTCCACACTTTCCAGGGGCTGCTGAAATCCAAGTTTCGGTGGTCAGTCAAATCCCTGGAGCTGCTTGTTGAAATCCGCATTTCCGGTCAATTCCTTTTAGTTGCTGCTCAATTACGATTTTCTTGTCCTTCCATTGCTGTTGGCCAAACCTCCATTCCGTTCCATTTTTTTCTAGCCAAATCTACATTCTTGTTGGCTGAATTCCCAATTTTTGCATCACTCCCATTTTTTGGGGGCATCACATACCATGTTGGATGGTAGACAATGGTAGACACCTATTCAGCCCAATCTGACCTATCCGATTTCTTGGTCGAATCTCCTTGCCCTTGGACCTGGTCCCCGCCCCACTGGGCTCACTTCTTCCATATGTACTTGTCGACATCAAGCCGTGGAGCCCCCCTCGCTGGGGGCGGTGGCCCGCCGCTCTGCAGAAGTTCGCGGTTCACCTGGACATCTACCAAGTGGTTTTGTGAGATGTTTACGCATACACATACACCAGTAGGACGGCACAAGGCGGTGGCGGAAATTCAAAGATAGAAAACCTATAGGAGAGGTGAGCTGTTGTTGTGTATGGATGGCAGAGCGAACCCACTGATGGACTGAAAGGTGGTTGAAGCTCTTAGTCTCTCTCTCTCTCTCTGTGTACCCTCTGTGTCTCTCTGTGTCACTCTGTGTCTCTCTATTGCTCTCCATCGCTCTTTAGCTATCTATATATCTATCTATCTATATATCTATCTATCTGTCTGTCTATCTATCTGTCTATCTATCTATCTATCTATCTGCCTATCCATCTAGCTATCTATCTATCTATCTATCTGTCTATCTACCTACCTACCTACCTACAGGTGGACGTTGATGGCAGGACCGATGGCGCTAGAATATGTGTTCCTGCATGGAACGCCGTGGTCACAGCTAAGTCAGAAAAGGCAGGACCTGGACTATGAAACCCAATGGAAACGCTTTAACGCTTACGGTTGGTAGACGTGAAAACACTCACTTCCAGAAGCCTCTTTCCAATGGAACGCCGGTGCCAGTACCCAAACTACTAATACTAAACATTTGGTTGATAATTCACCGTTCCCACGGAACGCTGGCTTTTACTGATGCTTCAGACCTGCCCAAACCTTTGGACAGAAGGGTTGCACATCAAAAACTGTGGTGGAAAAGGATGCATTTGTACGAGGTCCGCTATGAGGTCTACACGAGGTCAACACGAGGTCGGTCTATATGGTTTGTCCAGGAGCTCGCCACGAGCTTCTGAAGCGAGATTGCTCCACTTGAGCTGGCACTTATTGTGAAAACAATGAGCAGCTAAAACATGAGAATATCTCAGCTACTGATTCTTTCTCCCAACGGAACTCCGGCTAGGCAGACCTTTTGGGAATTGAACAGGCACACCTTTCACCACCTACTGTACTTGCATTATTTTCCATTCATTCGCATTGCTTTTGCTCATTTAGCATTTGTTTCCTTCAATTTGCATTCATGTTCTTGCTTCTTGTATTCATGTCCTTTCATTTTAATTGCATGTCTTTCCATTTTGATGATCCAAGGGTCTGTGAAACGCATAACGCTAGAGGTACCGCCTTCACCTGACTGCTTTTTTCGATTTTATACCACCGGTACCGTCTTCAACATCTGCCTGTACCTATCTATCTATCTACCTATCTACCTACTAATCTAATCATTCTATTCTATTCTATTCTGTTCTGTTCCGTTCCGTTTGATTCGAATCGATTCTATTCGATTCTATTCTATATTCTGTTCTGTTCCGTTCCGTTCGATTTGATTCGATTCTATTCGATTCTATTCCATTCGATTCGATTCCATTCTATTCCATTCGATTCGATTCCATTCTATTCTATCGATCTATCTATCTATCTATCTGACTATTTATCTCTGTCTATCTGCCTATCTATCTATCTATCCATCCATCTAATCTATCTAATCTATCTAATCTATCTAATCTATCTAATCTATCTAATCTATCTATCTATCTATCCTAATCTATCCTAATCTATCTAATCTATCTAATCTATCTAATCTATCTAATCTATCTAATCTATCTAATCTATCTATCTATCTATCTGCCTATTTATCTCTGTCTATCTGCCTATCTATCTATCTATCTGTCTGTCCGTCTGTCTGTATGTCTGTCTGTCTCCCTATCTATCTTTCTATCTGAAAGGGAGCAATTTCCTTCAAAAGTGGTGGTTGGCATGTACAAAACGAAACAATTCTGCGAGACTTCCTCAAACAATAACAATAGAAGTTCTGAGCTCCAAAACGGAGAATTTCTGCGAGACTTCCCTGTGTTCTTGAATTTGACAACGTCAAAAACAAAGCAATTCTGCAAGACGCCCTTCAAAAATGGCAAGTTGAGTGCGGAGCTGACGGCCTCGTACCAATGCTTTTTGCGATTTTCCACCCCATCGTCTATAAGTACTGCGTCCTGCCACGAAAAAGTGACGCCAGGTCATACGAGTGCTTCGCGCCAGCGCGAACACTTTTTCAACATCTCAACTTCCAAAAGTGCTCCGACAATAGTGTGCTTTTAACATTTTGACTTCGAAATGTGCTTCGCACCACAGCCGCATGCAATTTTTGATATCTCGCCGGACCAGATGGCTCCGCGCCCGCCGCTTTAGCGAGCCTGCTCCTCAACCTTCCGGAGCCACAAAACATTGGAAAAAGACATACTGTTTCGCGACTGTTCTACCTTTTCGCGCACTTTTATCTTTTTTCTTCTTCCTCTCTTCTCTGACTTTTCCCATCTCTGATCTTCTTTCTGCTGACTATCTCTTCTCTGACTCTTTCTCTTCTCTGACTGCTCTCACAACTGTTGCTGCATCTGTCCATAAGTCGGAAGTTTGACTTCTAAACTTCCTTCGATAAACATAAATGCAAATATGGTCAAATATGTATACATACACATACATTACATATTTGTATATATAATTAAATGCATTAATCATTACACATATAATTTTATACACATACACACACTAGTTTTGTTGCTTGCGCTCTACCCTAGTTTAATGGTCGGTTAGTGGTAATAGCGTCATGGAACGAACATTGAGAAAACGCCACCAAAAAATCTCACTGGCTGTGATGAAGAATGCAGCCGAAAAAAATTAGGCACAAACAATAATGGAAATTTGAGAAGCAGCACCGCCAGAGTTGAAGATTCAGGGATCATCAGAAACATTAGAGTTAGAGTTTTCGTGGCTGATAAAAAGGAAGGTTAACAACCAGAGCAAAGTGATTTTTAGATATTTTTAGTAACAAACATGGAGATATCAAAAGCAATGGGCGCCGTGCCCTGCAAATCATAGGGGTTCAACCAACCGACTCCATTGTGATGGGATGCTCCAAGATGAACCTGCCTTCTGATTGCCACCTTTCGCGACGAAACTTTCCACTTCCTGGGATGTCCAAGAGTCCAACCTGACAGAGACTGCCGTGGATCACTTGTAGTGCCAATAAACATTGCTTCGTTTTGCCGACCATGAGCCATCAACGCCACCAACGGCACCAAAGACCGCTATCTACATCTGAGTTCCAAACGTCACAGACTTAATCCTTGATACATGCGCGCCCATCGCGCGATGACATCCCGCCTTGGTCGTTGGGCGGGCTTTCGAGTTCTGCGTGTGTTGACCAGTGAATCGCCGGGTATCCTGTGGGAACTCCATGGAACTCATCCAATGAAGTCATATGTCAACAGTCAGGCTTCAATGATGTTAGATACTCAAACTGGTTTCACCACGGTCTGACCATTTTGAGTTGGAAGGTTGGAAGGTTTTGGAATATTCCAATCGCATGGGTTTCATGATGGTAGCCTCGGATGCCGAGGTCCCGGCACATTGGATGCAAACCAGGACGCCCTGGTTCACCGAAGCCCTGGCCAAGGCGGATGATGGATGTCGGGATCGGGATCCAGTTGATCATTTTCAAGACACCAGTTGAACAAACATGGAGAAGGATACGCCGATATAACATGATATAACCTGAAACCCCATGGATATGACTGTACTTATCATACGAATCAACAAGGGGTTTGTTAATCCGGGGTTGATATCAGAGGGGTGCTGGGATTGACAGAAGATTTCCTCCAGATTTGGACGTCCCCCTAAGCATTTCCTGAAAAGCAAACATGTCAACATATCAATATGAGTCTGAAACTTGAGTACATATCCCAAATATCCCCAAATATATAATATGCAATTCTTCGAAATATTATCATTAACAAGTCGATTCCTGTACACACTGCTGGCTTTTGGACAAACCCATAATGCAAAGGAACTGAAACTGACAGACTTGCACAAGATTTTTTTGAGCAAAAGGGCCACCCTATCAAAGCAAGACTTACCTTTAGACTGGGATTTCTGGCAGATTCTGGCCGACATACCAAGTTGTAGTACCCATTACAAAGATCACTTCTTGCAACTGCTGCAGAGTGCTGTATTTCTTTCCCTATCAAAAAAATCAAAAAAAGTGGCTTTCCCAAACCCAGGTTCACCAACCCCATAGGGTCATATAGGGTCTATGCCGAAAATCTAGGCATGTCTACGGAGGGAATGTCCAGGCCCCGCAGGAACTTCCCCCATCCGGTAACCGCGCACCATTCGGGCGACGGTGCTCCGCAATCCGCACATTCCTGCGAAGCGACGACAAAACCATGACATTGATCAATGGAAACCATGGTTTTTACCATCAAACATAGGGGTTTCCTATGCTTTCCTGTAAATTTTCCCATCATCCAATTCTATGAATTGATGGACTCAGAAGCACAACTTCAAAAGACCAAGCTGCAGTGCTGCGCTTGAGGTGAACAGCCTACAGCCAGCAATGCGAACCTGAGAAAACATGTGTAAAATTCGTTCACAAATTCTGTTCTGAGTGTGTTGCCAAGCCTTTGAAGGTATGGGTGCAATCTGCTTCCTTTTTTTGAGCGATCGTCAATCGTCAAGATGCCCGTTGGCATCCGTTGGCTACAGTATCCTGGAGTTCCCCCCTTCCAGGGCGTCCTTGTTGTCTGTCAAGGCCGTATGCCTCAATTGCGCTCACTTCCTGTTTGATTTAAGAACAGAACATTAAATAGATCTGACACCAGCAGAAGCTGCCGCGCTCTTGACTTTAAAGTTCTTGCTGGTGGAGTCTCTGCTGACATTGCAGTAACATCAAGTATCGCTTCAAACGCACCCTTTGGATATCCCGTACCCTTCTTGTTGGTGGAGATGCCAATTCATGCTGATTGTCTAGGACCAACGGGATAAGTACCGTAGCCTCAGCCTACAGAACTGAACTGGGACATCAAGTGCCACACAAAAGTCTTCCAAGACCTTCATGTGATCCAACTTAAACCGCGACCCACTGAACAGGCGCCATGAGCACCAAGCTGTTCCAATGTTGTGGCCGGCTTCTTTAAAACCGGCGTATTAGCCTGACCAGGTGCACAGTGGGGATGGGATGGGAGGTCACACTGACATGTCTCTATCTATATTATATTATCTATATCTACATCTATATTCATTTTCATTTTCACTTTCATATTTATATATTATATATATAAATATATACATAATTATACATATACATATCTATGTCATTCTATGCCATATATATATATATACACATGCACACAATCGTACGCAAAATCACTATTCTCTCTTATATACTGTCTAAATAGAAACATAATCCAGAGACATGTTGGTATGCTTGGTGTATTTTGCTGTCAAAAGCAGAGGGTCACATCACTGACCCGCTAACCATGGCCCATCCTGGAACATGTCACCATGGCCCTGCGCAGGGATGGATGTGGCATCACACGGCCTGGCGGCTGCATTGGCAGCATCCCATGGCTTGGAAATAGGGCATCACGAAAAAACCCACTGGATATAGCCATAAAATGCCATACTCGCCTTGGTAATTTTGGATGTAAATCCATGATAATCCATGTACATCATCGTACATTTTCGATTTTTGGACAGACCCTGCTGGGGAAAGATGCCCAACACTTCCGCTGTCCAACAAGTCCCATCAGTGCCGCCCACATCACCCCACCCACCTTGGCACCGGATAAAACTTGAAGTCCCTCGGAGGGAAGAGCAAGCTCGCCAGGCCTTGGCCGAGTCACTGGGCTGAACGGATAGGAATGGATTGGAGGTCAAGGGAAAATTGAAGCTGGAACTCCGGTCTTATACGGACTTATCATCTAAATGTGGTGGTTTCAGCATGTTTCAGCTGTCAGACATCGCGAAAAATGGGCTAAACAATGGCCTCAAATCAACGGCTCGCGAAAAAGTCGGAAGATGGATTTGGCCCCAATTAAATAGCAACACTAGCGTCCTCAGTTGCATGAGACCTCGATAACCTTCTTTGACAAATTCCTTCCCAGATCCCGAAAAAAAAACACACACTCAACCATTTTGAACAACATGATCTCAAGAATGGCACGCTACCCACATTATGTTCTTTTGGACAGCATGTCCCAGCCTTCCATAGGTGGTGGCACCCAGCTGCGCTGGGCTTGGGCCGTGCCTGTGCACAATCAACCTCTGCCCCGCACCTATTCGTAATCGCCGGTGAAGGTGTGATGTGATTTGAAAGCTTTATCAATCTTCCTATCGTTCTTTGAAAACGGCCATATTGGACCCGGACACATGGAGAAAAACACCAGCAAACACTTTGAACAGATTCTTCTCAAGAATGGAGAGCACCAGCATATGTTCTTTCGGACAGCACGTCCCAGCCTTGCATGGGTATCATGGATGGTGTCACCCAGCTGTGCTGGGCTTGGGCCGTGCCTGTGCATAATCAACCTCTGCCCCACACCAAATCGAAATCGCCGGTGGAGGTGTGTATATATATATATAATAAATAATATATATATAAAAGTAATATATATATATATATTATATTATATTATATTATATTATATTATATTATATTATATTATATTACATTATATATACACACTATGATTTGAGAGTTCTATCAGTCTCCCTATCGTTCTTTGAAAACGGCCACATGAGACCCGGACACATGGGGAAAAACACCAGCAAACACTTTGAACAGATTCTTCTCAAGAACAGAGAACCCCTCATATGTTCTTTCGGACAGCACGTCCCAGCCTTGCATGGGTATCATGGATGGTGTCACCCAGCTGCGCTGGGCTTGGGCCGTACCTATGCATAATCAACTTCTGCCCCACACCAAATTGAAATCGCCGGTGAAGGTGTATTGTGATTGAGGAGTCTTATGGGTCTCCCTAGCCCTATTGTTCTTTGAAAACGGCCGCGTGAGACCCGGACACATGGGAAAAACACCAGCAAATACTTTGAACAGATTCTTCTCAAGAACAGAGAACCCCCCTCTTATGTTCTTTCGGACAGCACGTCCCAGCCTTGCATGGGTATCATGGGCGGTGTCACCCAGCTGCGCTGGGCTTGGGCAGTGCCTGTGCATAATCAACTTCTGCCCCGCACCTAATCGTAATCGCCGGTGAAGGTGTATTGTGATTGAGGAGTTTTATGGGTCTCCCTATTGTTCTTTGAAAATGGCCGCATGAGACCCGGACACATGGGGAAAAACACCAGCAAATACTTTGAACAGATTCTTCTCAAGAACAGAGAACCCCCATCTTATGTTCTTTCGGACAGCACGTCCCAGCCTTGCATGGGTATCATGGGCGGTGTCACCCAGCTGCGCTGGGCTTGGGCAGTGCCTGTGCGTAATCAACTTCTGCCCCGCACCTAATCGAAATCGCCGGTGAAGGTGTATTGTGATTGAGGAGTTTTATGGGTCTCCCTATTGTTCTTTGAAAACGGCCGCATGAGACCCGGACACATGGGGAAAAACACCAGCAAGCACTTTGAACAGATTCTTCTCAAGAACAGAGAACCCCCCTCTTATGTTCTTTCGGACAGCACGTCCCAGCCTTGCATGGGTATCATGGGCGGTGTCACCCAGCTGCGCTGGGCTTGGGCAGTGCCTGTGCATAATCAACTTCTGCACCGCACCTAATCGTAATCGCCGGTGAAGGTGTGATGTGATTTGAAAGCTTTATCAATCTCCCTATCGTCCTTTGAAAACAGCCACATGAGACCCGGACACATGGGGAAAAACACCAGCAAGCACTTTGAACAGATTCTTCTCAAGAACAGAGAACCCCGCTCTTATGTTCTTTCGGACAGCACGTCCCAGCCTTGCATGGGTATCATGGGCGGTGTCACCCAGCAGCGCTGGGCTTGGGCAGTGCCTGTGCGTAATCAACTTCTGCCCCGCACCTAATCGTAATCGCCGGTGAAGGTGTGATGTGATTTGAAAGCTTTATCAATCTCCCTATCGTCCTTTGAAAACAGCCACATGAGACCCGGACCCATGGGGAAAACACCAGCAAGCACTTTGAACAGATTCTTCTCAAGAACAGAGAACCCCCCTCTTATGTTCTTTCGGACAGCACGTCCCAGCCTTGCATGGGTATCATGGGCGGTGTCACCCAGCAGCGCTGGGCTTGGGCAGTGCCTGTGCGTAATCAACTTCTGCCCCGCACCTAATCGTAATCGCCGGTGAAGGTGTGATGTGATTTGAAAGCTTTATCAATCTCCCTATCGTCCTTTGAAAACAGCCACATGAGACCCGGACACATGGGGAAAAACACCAAAAGCAAATGGATGTTCAATGATGTTCATTATGTCTGGTCGCAATTGGTCGCATAAGTCTTCGCAAATCCTTGCCTTAAACCTATTAAACCTCCAGGAATGGAACATGTGGAACCCAAACACAAAGATAAAGTACAGGGCAACAGGACCGTGTCTAGTAACGGTGAAGAGGTCACCATGGCAACTGCGCCAGGACACAAGTTCGCATTGGGCGCCATTGAGGCCAATGGGGCGAATGGGACATTGGGCACCCAATGGAACTAACTAACAAGATTGAATGGTTTGGTATTGTTTGGCAGTGAAGACCATTCTTGAACAGTAGATGGGTACGTGGCCTGACAACTTTCGTGAGTTTGCTGGTTTTTGGTCTATTTGAATCAAGGAACTTTAGGTTTGGGGTTCGGTGGGCTGGGGAAGGGCTTAGGGGCTTAGGGGCTGGTTTAAGGGTTAAGGACAAAGTAAAAAGAAGGGGGAGTGGCACCCCCCTTCCCTTTACCTTGATTCAAATAGATTAAATAGATAACTTCGTTCAATGGCGATTACAATCAGGTGCAGGCAGAATTTTATCATGCACAGGCACAGCCCAAGCCCAACGCACCTGGGCCACACCACATGCAAGGCTGGGACGTGCTGTCCGAAAGAACATAAGAGGGGGGTTCTCTGTTCTTGAGAAGAATCTGTTCAAAGTGCTCGTCGTCATGATGAGTATAGATTGAGTAATGATGATTCGCGATGATCAGCAATAACTGGTGATGATATGGTGATGATCAGTGACGATTTGGCCAGTACAGTAATGAATTGTGCTGCTTGGGGATGAGTCGTGATTATGTGTTATGATCTGTGCTGACTAGTGCTGGTTCGTGATCGTGGCAGAGTCTTCAAGCCACAAGATGGGCTGCAATGCAAAGTCGGATGTCCAATGTGGGTCCTCAACGTCAGAATTTTTCCCTTGGCTTGTTCCCCCCAAAGTTGTCGGCTGGATGGATTTCAATAACCGCCAAAGACAAATACAAGATCCATTCCATATCCAAATATGCGTGACCACATTCGGAAATAATATGAAATAACGCGATGTCATACGATTTCATTTTGCTTGGTCTTTCCTTGGAAAGATAACTACATTCATTCTCAAGACCTTTGGTCTCAAGAACAGTCATTATCATTGCACCTAGATGCAGCTTGGTGAGACAATTCTATCAGGGCGCAAGGGCTTGAGTCTTGCCAGCCCAAGATTTGTAAGATTTGTTGCAGAGGTCTCAGAAGAGAAAGCAAGATTGTATCTCTTTACAGAGTCCTGAGTCAACAAGCAGAATCATAGCAGTCACGGTCGTAACTGCCAAAGCCCAGCTGATTTCTTTGTCTGTTCCGCAGCTTGTTTCATCTTGCTTTGCTGAGCTTTACGCCCTTGAGAGCCCTCAGCCCGGAGAGCAGCAGGGTTCCGCCTCAATGAAGCAAACCAGGACACAGCCTTGGCACTTCAAGTGCCAGTCTCTTGCCTGCACTCCGCATCAATAGCGGCAGCCCCGCCTCGGAGAAGAATCCAGTGACAAGTGATTCTAAGAATGAAAGCATGTTGCCAAAAATCGGGGCGTTTGCACTCCTGAATTGGGCAGCGGACCTAGACTTGGGAGTTCTGGCCTGGCCAAAACATGCCAGAAACAAAACACTGCAAGGGGGGAGTGGCTCCACAAACCGCTCAAGAAAATACAGTATTGTGAGACAAAGACTGGATCACCATCCATTGGCAAAAAAACCTCTATTTGGCAAGCATGACACTCACTGATCTATGTTTGCTGCACCTCTGGTTTTGCGACTGCACCAAAGGAGGCAGGCTCACACCTGGTTTCAGAAGATTGCACTGGATAAATATTTCCACGCACCCAGGACACAGCGAATAGGGCATTTCCTCAGTTGAGGTGGGGACGGTCTTGGCGAACCTCTGAGCTTTCCGATGCATATCGCCATGTGGTTCCAGCTGTTGTTGAAGCCTGTCAACGGAGTCGTTTGGAAGTGGGAAATCCGGCACCAGTTGCCAGCCGCTGCCTGTGTTGTGCGCAGATCCGGTGTGCTCTTTGATGCCTCGCAATATTGTAGCGATATTCAGCAAAATTGAACGGTTCAAATCAAGGGTCTGTCTCAAGGTCTGCCGCAGCAGTGTTTGTACATGTGTGCAATCTTCTTTTAGAAACTTGGAGATGTTTTGGATCTGCAAAGTGGAACAAAGTTTGAACATAGTTGAACCCTGAACCACGGGCCATTCCTGCAGGCCGAAGTCCTTCTCCTGTCGACCGTTGATGAGGTTGTGAATGGGATATTGATGGGATAACTCGGGATAATACAACGATATACAACCTGGATATTTACTGAAATCATCTGAAATCCTTATTGAAAGTGAGATCAAGTAGGGGATGTTCAATCATCGAGTTATGTAACCCTGGCATTCTGCGGCACGAGGTCAGAGCACAATCCTCAATCTTAAACGACCATAAACCGCAGGGCGAACTGGCAACTGGTCACCCTGGCTTTCTTTTTTGATCTTTTGCATTAACATCTTGTGTCAATCTTGAGAATCTTCAACAACCATGACACTGCCAGCCTTGTGCTCGTCAAATGTATCACCGCCACCATCTCTCTCTGGCCTTGGGAAACTCGTGCATTGCGCCATCACGGAACATCCCAGAAGTTGTATTGCAGCGGCCAGGTACGAAGCCAGGGACGAAGCATTACGAAGCTGGGAACAGATAAGTCATCGACTCGAAGCTGGATCCTGTGCTTGGCATGAAGACATGCACTGACCTCCAGCAAAATCAACAATGGAATGGGCGTTCCATGAGGACAAGCTACCCACACTTGAAGACATGTCGTGCCACGCAAAGGGCTCTCCAGCTCTCCGGCCTTTTTCGCGGCTCCACTTTTAGCCTGTGGGAAATTGTGGGAACAACTTCGAGAAAGCCATAGAAAGCCGCGTTTCTTTGCATTTTTCCGGTCATGCCTGCCTCCTAACTCCAGGATCCGCTAGGATTCTAAAGATGTGACCTGAAGTTCTGGACCAGGCAACACAACTCAGTAGAGTATACTGGGATATAGTGATATACTGGATTTACACATATATATATATACATAATATCTATGTGTGTATATATATCTTCTTAAATTATCTACTCTTTAGAACCTATTTCTGGTGAAATTGGGGTTTGCTGTTTATCAGGCTTACAATACCACATGTTTTTCTCCGTTTCAATCCTTGGGCATCCACCGTAGGTCTTGCAGATCTCAGAAGCAGGTCTAGGCACCTCGGTTGTGAAACAAGGCTGTGGTAATGTGTGCTACCAATGGGGGATTTGGTGATGATCTCCTCTGACTATGATGGCTTGAAGCCGAGTTGAAGCCACAACTGATTCAAGATACAGGAGGACCCACAATGATCCAGCTATTAGACCATCTTTATCAAGTTTTGGTTGGGGGCCAACCGTCTTGATCCATAGGCATGCCAGTGCATGGATCTTGAGAGAGAGAGAGAGGTCCCGGCAAATGGTAGTAACTGCGTGTCAGGAACATCTTTGCCGAAATCCTGCGAGGACATTAGGAACACATTGGACATTAGGACATCAGTCTTGTAAGATTGATAAGAGTCCAAGAGGCCTCTCTGTCAACAAAGCTATAGCCATAAAACCTGGTCAGCAGCCAGCACATCTGTCAGTTTAAATCTTGCAGTGTCACATTGTCACATGCTGAAATACAGTCTGCTGACCATGACATGTGGCAATTCTGGGAAGATGCACTTTGCAATTGGCTGCGGCTGATTGCGGGCAGACATATAGGACCTGACCAAGAGGTCTGGAACATCAACCTTTGGATACCTTCAGAGCTTCGGCTTCGTTTCATTACAAAATGAATGCAGCAACTCTGCTGGTCCGGTTTCCGTTTGAGTGCCTCTCCGGTGAGTGGCTCCGGACGCGCTTCTTTCCATCTTCACTGCTGTGTCTCTTTGCCTCTAGAAATCTCTACAACCACCCATGAAAAATCATGAACATATATTATCACAATATCTATACAATTCTGCATTTTGGATGGGACATGATGGGACTAACTGTCTGGCCTTGGGCTTGATCTTCTTCTTTGCTTTCTTTATCTGCAGTTGTCGAATCTTGGAAAACATGCAATGAAATGATCATGGCATGCCTTGGCAAACTTTCTCATTCTTCGAGTGATTGTTTGGCTCACTTTTGGGCCGCTCAACCACACCTCTTCGTTTGGATTGATGTCTTCTGACTCAACCTCGCAATCAAATGCTGCAAACATGTCATGCTGGGATCCTGTTGAGTTGATTCCCAGCCAAGACCCACTGAATTTCGCATCTCAATTGTTCTTAAATTGCAAGGTGGTGCAGCTGCCAATGATTGAAACTGGTCATGTTGGCAACTGATATTTCATACAAGTTCCCCTTCTTTGTGTGCGTTAAGGCGGTGGCAGACACGCGTCCCAAAGCGTTTGCAAATGTCGCTGAATCCGCGGGATCCTGCCAGTTTGCTGGTGGCTTCAACCCATCCAAAACATATCAGTTGGGATCATAATCCCAAAACGTATCTGAAATATCTCAAAGTCGTTTCCTCCATTTCTGTCATTTCAATTCATTTCATATTATTTCATCCTTGAATCTATCCTTTAAACATCTTTAAAATGTACCGTGTGTTTGAAACCTAAGCTGTGTGCGGTATTTCGGCAGCTCCCAACCTTGCGGTGTTTGGATGAATTCCTCACAAGGAGCAGCCATTGCAACAACCAGCAATCATTGCTGCGTCTGACTTTCAAACACAACTCTTTGCGCAAAATCCGCGCATTCCCACAATGGAATACAATCCCCAATATAGATCATCAGCCAACAGGGGGCTTGAAAACTGCCAATGTAAAGACATGTCCAAGGTATGTTTTCGCTGTCAAAAGTGCTGGCCTCTTGGGTGAGCGACTGGGAGAGCCGGGAGAGCTATCGCCTTCGTCGGCCTGATGTTTTCTAAGTCATTTGTTGAGGATAAAACGACCTCTTGACGTTTTTGGTGTCCAAGTCTTTTCGGTGACTGGAACTGCACCAGCTTTGCTGGACTACCCAGAGAACTGAAGAGCATTGAAGGACTTCTGCAAGTTCGGTCCAATTTTTTGTGGTTCAAAAATGGGGGTACCACGAACCCACAATTTTGGTCATCTTCAGTTACAGTTACAGTATCCGATCCTACCAATTCATGGGACTGAATGATTTTGGGCAGCCACTGTAGAATCTGTAGAGTCGGATTGGATGGCCTTCTTCTTTTTCTTGTCGCCCTTCTCTTTGACCTGCGCTCATGCGATTGCACGTGGGCTGTGGGTCCACTATCAAACAAAGCTGAATATGATGTACCCCATTGCCTCGCTGGAGCCAGGTGGACTCTGCCTTGATGTGAAGGGATCCAAGGGTTTGAAAATGCACCAAGAAGATCCAAGAAGTATCAACAGTGTTTTTCAATACGGAAACCTCAGGAATAGACCCTCCTCTTGCTCCAGACTTGGCTGATGCTTTCGCCTTCGCCTCCAACAAATACGGTTTCTTCGGTTGCCAATCCAAAGAGGATTCAAAAGGTCTGCAATTGATGAAGCTGATGAAGCTGAAGCTGCCAGAAGCTGCCAAAAGCGCGTTGCGCAAACCATTGGAGTTTCATTGGAGCCGGTTCCGAGGCCTCACTGGATCCAGGTGGAGTTGGCCTCACTGGATCAAACGTGAAACATGGGGCTGGCGGCAAGAGTTCTGCAACTCGCAGGAGAAGCAAAAAACGTGTATGGATAGGTATGATATATATATATTATAATATATGTATACATATATATATATGAATAGGTTTACTTACGAATCAATCATAATTATTGTATGTTTGAATATCATTGAACATATTATTAATATTTACTAATCGTTACTACATCGTGGATGTTCTTCACTCGTTGCGCATGACTTCAGAATCACCCTCTCCCAAGAATACTGGCGCAAATGCTCGGGGCCAGACCCTCCTTTGGCTCCAGGTTTGGTTTGAGGTGTTAGGCCGCGCCCAACAGACTCGCTTGATCCAGGTGGTGTCCGCCTGCAGCTCATGATTGTTCTCAGTCACTAAGTGTTCTTGTTTGGGGCATACATATACACACAAATTCAGTGTGTCACTATCTGTCAAAGTGCTGAGCAAGCCGCCCTCTGACTGTAGGCTTGGGTGCTGCTTTTGGGCCCTTCGCCTCTAGCAGGATGATGTACTGAACTTGCTAAAAGGTAGACTGAAAAGCTTAAACTTAACCCATGTGTGAGCCCGGAAGGGCCCATGAGAATCAATTTCTATCAATTTGTTTGAAATGTGTCTCAGGTCGCCCTCTGATGTGCCGAGAGAGAAATAGCCCCATCAACATGGGCGGCCCCATGTCCAAAAGGTGACCTTGCCTCACTGGATCCAGGTGGCGTTCGCCTCAGAAATCATGGATAGACTGCAAATGGAAATGTAGATGTAGACGCCTGCCATAGCCTGCTGCATAGAATGGTGTACATCGGTCCAAGCATTTGCTCAGGCAGCGACCCTACTTTTGGTCCAGACTTGGCTGCAGCTTTTGCTCCTCCTTTTGCCTGCAACCCGCTGTGAGCTTCGGAAAGCAAAGAGAGGTGTCTCGCCCATGTTTGATTTGAGCACTAATTCCCGTTGCAGAAACCTTGACATACCAGTACTGTGACATACTTGAATCCTTAGCCTGCAAAAAGGTGCGACAGTTCAGGAATCGCGACTAGCATTCTGTTGCTGTGTCTTCATGAAAGCTCAAGACCACAGGAAGATTATGCATTCAAAGGTGTACTTTCTTTCACTGAATAAAATCCTCAACCTCCAAACTTGTTGGTGGCTTCACACATCCCGAAATAGATGTATATAAACTGGGATCATCATGCCATCTTTACGCTGGAAATTGCAGCACGTTTGAAACTATCAACTTCCGTGGTTAAAATCCATAAATTCCCCGTTTCTGTAGCCCTTCCTTTTCTTCTCACCTTGCCATTTGATGGATCTTCATCCTCGGGCTCTTGTGGCACATCTGGCCTTGTGTCCAGAGAAGCTTGGCATCGGTCAATGTCCCCAAAGGACTGTCATATGATAGTATCCACAAATTATTGACATATGCAGCTATGTGTATATATATATACATACGTATATATATATATTCTTATATATTTATATTGGATTTACATGTATACAGTATCATCATAACAATCATGGCACTGCCAGGCTTTCCCAAGAAATCGCTTTGAGCGAATAACAGTTTGAAATGCTTCAAAGCTGGTCAGCCTGTCTTTGTCTTGGCAAAACAGCCTTTGCATGCTACCTTTTCATCTCTTACATTATATAGTATACAGTATAGTGCAATCACGAGCACGTTTAGAACATGCATTTTGAGACTCTCGAGCAAACTGCCCGGGCAGTGTCACTTTCTTTATTTATCCGAATTATCCCTTTCATCCTGGCTCATTCGGCAGTCTAATCAGTTTATTAATTTATAGTATATTTTCTTTCAAGCCTTGATTTCACATGGCCAGGCTTCACTTGTCACTGAGATGGAAGACTCTATTTCCTCGCTGCCGGAATCGTCTGGACTCAGTGTGGGAGGCTACTGGCGTCACGTATGTTGTCAAGTGTGCAAACCATGATACCCAAAATATCCCAAATCACTTTGATAGCTTTCTAGTTTGAATGGCACATTGACAATGCGGAGCCATTTCAATATCATTTCTGGAATTTAGGTACTTGCATTACTTAATGGATAGTTACACATGTCACATGACGTGAGGATACGTTAGATATAGCAACCGAGTCAATCAGTTGCTGTGAGTAGTGCCACCCTGAGTGTCCAACTCCGTTGAGTTCATCGAGTTCATCGAGTTCATTGAGTTCATTGAGTTCCTAGGACCCACTGGTCAAGGGGTGACACAGCCGGACAGTCGGAATGTTTAATGATAAAGCCTTGGAGCCTTGGGCAGGGACTGCTTCCTCCTATTGGACGAGGCTGCCTGGTTTTTGGACATGGGACATGGGCTCTTCAGGAAACGTCATCAAATCTACTGGCAGCTCACTATCCGAAATCCATCGAAATCCTGCAGATGAATCTGAAAACGATAAGAGAAAAGCATTGATTTTCCTGCATGGTGGACATTTCCCTGATGAACACCATTCAATTGCAACGACTGATCAAAATCAATGCCGTCTCAAATCGAGTTTAGTTGGTTGACCAACATACCGCTACCATCGACGTTGCTGGCCTGACTGGGCTGGTTCTGGCTCTGGCCATCTCTTTCTTGTAGCTTCTTTCTCTTTTGCCTTTGCCTGTTGATTGAATCCATAGCTGCGTTCAGCCACAGCGATGATCGGAGTTCTCGGTAATCAGAAGACGAAATACTCCAATGCAGTACCAAAGTAGTTGTCAATGGGTTCAAAATCCACTGCCTCAAGTAGCCTTGAACATCTGGTAGTGAACCTGCACTTTCCAGGCATTGACCAGCACAAAAAATGCAAGTTTCAACAATAAGAGTTTTGATATGCAAGGATGATTGCTCTTATGGTGTGCTTTGTACATCTTTGACATACAAAACGTTCAATCCTACAAGACTTAAAAACTGTGAATTGGTCCAAATCTTAGCACTGCCCAAAGTTTTTGTTTTGCATGCTCGAACATAATGGAACCAAACAGACAAGTTTGATCTTTCCGGGATTTGTTGGGTCATCTCAGGGCAAGACTGGTCGGTCCATTGGGATTCTGCAAGCCCTGCAATGCCACCTCATCTAAGGCCTTGAGCTCGCAGTGGATGCTGCAAAAAATCTCGGGACACATCGCTTGGTGGTTTCAACCCCAAAAAACATCTGAGGATCATCATCCCATGATTGCCATTTCATCCCATGATCGCCATTTCCATGGCTTGAAAATGAAACATCCTTTCAAACATATTATGCGAAACATGAAAATGAAACATTGTCCCATTATACCATCATCCCATTTCATATATCTTAACATGTTTTCTGCCTGCTGACCATCAGAAAACCATCTCCGAAACATCGGCGGCACCTCCCGCACGGCCATCTTCAGCTGCTCCTCAATGACCTCTTCGAAGAGCTCTGAGACCTCGAGCAACATAGGAACACAAGAAAACTATATTAAAATCAATATAGGGAACAAAAAACACAAAAAAGGACTATAATACCAGAATATAAAAACATGTAGTATATGGGTATATAAATTTCCAAAAAAATGGATATATAATAATAATATATACAATATGATACACCATACTACGACAAAAAACATTAAAACATGTCGAAATAGAATATACAAAGTACGTACAATGCTATACTGTACAATATCAATAATAATACACATACACACACTCATGTAATATCAAATAATAGAGAAAAAAATGAACATAATACATATACAATGTATTGTAATGTAGAAACATATCATACAATGAAACATGATAAAGTTGAACTGAGTTTAAATAGCACTGTGCTATGCAATATTGAAATGCAATTTGATGGCATACTATAATTTCATATAGGACAATGTAATAATATACTATCAACAAATATCACACGCATATACTATAAACAACACTATACATAATATGATACAAGATGATACAAGACAATACAACATTTAGAACTCTTTGACATGAATGAAAGTGATGAATTTCGGATGCAGAAATCCCAAAATAGGTTTCCCACTGTACCGCGAAGGCCCGGAGCTGGCATGCCGGTGTCAATTGGGATGCCCTCAGATCACCACTGGCAAAGCCATACAGCAGGAAGGTTGGCAGATTGAGAAACCTAGAAATACCTTTAAAATATTTTAAAATACCTTAAAACACCTTAATTTTTCATAACAACCACCAAGTTTCAGGCACTGCAATAGTCCAGGAGGTCAGAGAGTGTGAGCATATGATGGCCTCGCCTGTCCAAGACCTAGAAGATTGGCGGCACAGCAGACATTTCTGAGCAAATTCAGACGATCTGTGAGCCGTCAGTCTCTAATGTGGGTAAAACAATAATAACCCACCCATTTGGGAATGGTTTATACCACCTATTTATGTGATTTTGGGGATGGTTTTGTTTTACCACCATTAGAGACAAGTCTTCAATACTGGGGGCGCGGCCGTAAAGATTTCCTCCCAGCACAGTGGCACATTGAATCAGATGTCTTACCAGTATCTCATCATCTCCCCGAATGGATCTGTGAAAATCGCAAAGCAAAGTTTGCCGAATCTCCTGCTCATCATAGTTTACAGTAAAATCCAGCTGTTGCAATCCCAATGTCCATTCTTCGCCTGAGTAGCTGAGCAGCTAAATTGGATATTAGCCATCGTTCCAAACTTGGGCACCTAGCACCTCCACAATCTCTTACGTTGGCAAACACCATTGATTTCACTGAGCTGATCGTCTGGCAGGGCATTTCCGGCAAAAAAAAATTGGGCACCTATCAAAGGGCACCCTGTCCGCATCGGAGGAAACAAAACCGACACTGATGTTTCCCTTCGGTCCAAAAACACAGCAACCCTGGGTGATTGAAAATACTTTACTTCCAGTGAACCCCCCCCACCAACTGACATATATATATATATATTTTCCAACATTGATCTGGCATATATCATAGCAATCTATAATATCTGCGATAATATTACACATGTTCTGACATTTTATCTGAGATACGTTCTGGCATTTTATCTCACACATATCCAAACATTATATATATATATCATTTTATCTGACATTCTCTCTCACATCGTATCTGGCATTCTATCTGACATTTTATCTGACATTTTATCTGAAAATATCTTACATACATTCTGACATTTCATCTGGCACTCGATCTGACATATTTCTGGCATTGTATCATTATGACGTTTTCTCTGGAATGGTATCTGACAGTTTGATACATCTTATCAGGATTCTATATTCTGTTCAGGTCCAGCGAGCTTTAGAGAGTCGAGCCGGCGATAGATTCTGCGAGCACGAGGAGTAGTAAAGGAGAGGAGGACAAGGACAAGGAGAAGACCCTCACCTGGCAGGTGGGAAATGAGGGTCCGCGAATGCCTTTCCCCCAACATCTTACCCTTGGTGCATAGACTGCATCTGCAAATGCCCTGAAGTCATCTGCTGAGCACGGCACGACTGAACCGACCATCTCCATTTGGATCAAAAGTAGCCAAAGCTGCCTGGCAAGCTTCATATTCGCAGCAGTTTATATCATAGGGAAGAAGGATCCCCTTACATAATAGCAGGATATAGTAGGAGCATCACGGAAAATGGATGAACATCAAATAGCATCAAGAAACATTCGGTGTATTTGGAGGTTACCATAAGGTCATAGTATGCCATAGTGGTTTAATGTGGTTTATTCCACCAGAACCTTCCAACATTCCTCCCACTTGCCAAGTCCTGCATCGTTCCACAAGTCCGGCTGAGAAATCGCTTGGTCTTGGCGGGGGACGAATCAGCTCTTTAACAAAACGTACATAATAAGTGCTGGATATCTGATGATATCTGTTCATCAGTTGTTCATCATTTGTTCATCTATGTCAACCCTGGATTCACAAATCTTCCTTAGGATTCTGTTATATCTGTTATATTCTGTTGATTCAGTGCTGGAGGGTCACGGGATTTGCGCTACAATCAACTGGGATGGACCTCCCTTTGAGACCCACAAGTACTGGGATGAATCCACGGATGAGAGGTCTATGAATCCTGGCCCTTGCGCATCGCCCGGGGAACCCTGCCGACTTGGCTGCTTCCACTGCGGCTGCAGCTGGCCTGGGTTCGGACATGAGCTTTGTGGTTGCAAAGCCCAAAAAAAAAGACCCCTTCTGGTTCAACCGTATCATACCATGTCATACCATGTCATACCTTGTCATACCATATCACATGAATCGACCATGTCAACTGCATCAAGCATACCAATCACCCAACAACATCCAACAACAACCCTGACCCCTAAGCCTTAGACATCTTAGACGGGTGAATCACGCTTCTGCTCTCCCAATAGGTGAAAAAAAGATTAACATTGACAAACAATGTCTAAAGTCAAGCGGCCTGAAGGGCAGCAGGTCATCTGTGCGAGGCCTGGTGTAGCAATCAGCACCTCAGTGACTGTTCTCACGGTGATGAGCATTGCAAATTCCTTCGTCCGTTTGTCAAAGATTATAAGGATTCTCAAGGCACAATTATACAATACTATAAAATATACGTACTATATAACATTAATGGAATTCATAAGATTTCGCAGCGGGAGTAGTCTGAGGTGCTCAGTTCAAAAAACGACCGGGATTCCGGCTACGAGGTCGTGGCTCCAACTTCGCCTTCGGTGGAGGCTTTCCAATGCCACGCCGTGTCAACCGCGATGATTTCGCCTGCTTCATGGCCCAATGTGACCTCTTGGATCTGGCTATAGGGGGTTGACATTAATTACTATGTAACAATAACTAACAAGTACCAGAATAATCTTCTAAATCACAGAACCGTACAGAACCTGCAAACATCAGCAAGAACATGGAGAATTGGAAGACAAACCAAAATAACCAAAGTACCAAAGTGGTGCTGTTAAGAGCCTGCTGCTTGGCTGTCATCGGAGACTTTCCTCAGTTGATTCACACATCTTTTTAGACCAACAACCAACATGCTGCAAAAAAATGAAGGATACTGTGGTCATGCAAACCTTAAGAACTTGTTGACAAGCGGCTAACAAGTTTGGGACTTGACGATCTGGCCCGTTCAAGCGGGAACGCTGGCTGTCCAGCTGCTAGACCAGATGGTGGCTCGTTGGCATCTTCCAGGTACCAAGGCCTTCCAACGCAGTTACAAGCATCCAGAGGCACAACAGCCCCGATGAATGGGTCAAGGATGCAAACTGCAATGACATGCAATAACTGTATCTGATACAGTCTTGAATCTTAGAGATGGATGCCAGGACTCAAATAAAGTCAGTCAATCGAAATCAAAACCTGGTCACACCCATCACCATCTGAAACATATCCATGGCTTTCCTTAGAAAACCGACCCTTACCGCAACAGCCCCAGGAATGACTGAGACCAGTGGCCTCATGTGGGGATTGGGGGTATGGGCCAAAAACATCATTTGCTACCCCCAAAAAATGCGACTGGGAGTGGCTGGAAACTGAATCCGACTGGGGTTAACTCATGTTAACTCTCATGTTTCGGCCAGGCAATGCCAACTGATTTATGTTAAGTTCATATTATGTTATATCTATATATAATAAGTAATAAGCAGCCCGAATTAATCAACAGCCACATTCCAAAAATGATTGGCAATATTACTTTGAGTTGGTCCCTCCCTGTTAATGAAAATTAATCAGCATGTGTGACCCCCTATTAAACAACACCCTGCTCAGAAATCCTAATTCAGTGGTATTCGGGATATAATATTTCTTTTAATTGTTTTAATTGTTTTCAATGGTTGAAAAATAACTTAATGGTTGAAAAAATAATTAATGCCTTGAAGGGATGTCCCATACTCAATCTCACCATCTCACCCCATTGGGAGGGAGGTTGCCACATCTCGAACTGAAAAGAGACATCTCCGACCCATTGCCAGGCAGGCTGGTTGTTTTTTTCTGTATGACAAGCCCTAGTTTTTAAATTGGGGGAATTGGTGGGGACTCTTACCGTCTAGGGGGGGTTATTAATACGAACTTGGCATTACTAAGAATTGCATATATATATATATAATTATATATATATATACATGATTACCATAAGAATTACCAAATGATCAACGTTTTCTCTATCCATGGAATCCCAGGTTACCCTTTCCTGAACCCCCTCAGGGTATCCCAGGTTTCAGCTCAGGCACTGCCGCATCTTGCCACGTTTGGGCGAAGGAGGCCGGGCGGCTGCACCAGTTTCCACCATTTCATCTGGGCGACGGCCAAGGGTTTGTGCCAGCGGCTGCTGGTGACCCTGGTGGTTGGGGGATCACGTGATGGAAAAGTCATTGAGTCATGACAGTCATGATACAATTTTAAGATAAATATATGAGAAATCATGAGAAATCAATCTGAAATAGATTCAGAATCTTTGATTGACCCCACGACCCCACTATTAACAAGAGAGTATTATATAACCAGCAATAACCAGCATCAAGCACTTGTCAACTTGTCTGGTTTGCATCTGCCCTCAGAATCCTCCAAACCCTCCAAACCAGCTGCGAGAAGGGAGGTCATGGTGCAGCGATACTTCTTAGGCAAGAGCAATCATCTGCTTCTGCGCCATCAAACTTCCGACCTCACAAACTGCTCACAGTGACCTTACTGCAGCTATTTTCGGTCCAGCTTGATCTATGGCTGGTCATGCCATCAGACTCCGGACTCAAAGGATCTTGGATGGCTGCACGTGCAAGGTCTGCGCCTCGTCAGCAAAAAGCTTGCTGGAAATTCCAGGGACCCCATGATATCCATTATGGCAGTCGCATACACTTTGCAGCTTACCATACCAGTATGGCAAGTGTATGGCAAGCTTTGGGGACTGGGAGCCCATTTCGGGTCTCTAGAAATGCCATAAAACAGCAGCCAGGTTTGCTGAATGAACATATTTGACAATTTCAGGAGTTAGGGACAAAGCACTCTGGCTGAGTTTGCAACGACCAGTGCGGTAAGAATCGCTATTCTCTGGCCTTAGACCAATTGCAGTAGTTACAGTATATAGTAATATATAATAGTATATAATATATAGTATATATAGTTATACGCCAAAATGCATCGAAGTGCAACAAAATGCAACAAAATGCAAGTTTCAAGGGAATTTCGCTGGAATCCTCTGCGAAGCAATCAATTTAGAAGGGCATGTAGAGTACCGTCCTTCATAATCTCATACGTGCAAGCTTGTGCACAGGGATGGTTTCTGACGACTCACTAGAGCATCTGAACAACTTGTCCTTCTTTCATATTCGCATTCTTTTCATGGTGATTGGTGACCGTTCAAAATCCAGACTTCCATCATCACCCCCGAATGCAGGAGAACCACAAGTTGATCTTAGACATTGGCTCTGAAGTTGACCAATTCCAGCTGACACTGCCTTTGCAAGCAGAAGCCGTCTTGTTCAAGGGATTTTGACACCGTCCCAAACGCATCTACTGCACCAGTAGCGGAGTGAGGTCACCTTCACTGTTGAGGAGGCAACACAGGAAGTCATCCACATCGTAGGACCTTCGATGCTCGGAGGAATTGTCACAATGGGCCCTGTAGCATCCAATGGCTACTTTCCAACATGAAGGCTATAGACAGTCTGTGACGGGTTGCAATGCTTTTATGAGCATCCGGCCCATCATCTCCCGTGCAGTGGTTGAAAATGCTGGTTGCTTCCTTGCAAGGACGCAATGAATCAAGAAAACTGCATGTCCGGGAAACAAACAGTTTCAACAAAGGAAAACAACGAATGCAGCAGGTCATCTTTTGAATCACTTGCTTCATTAATAATTATTCATTTTTGGGTTTCCTTCTTCAACATCCAAAGCATCACGTTTCTTGCTGAAACCATAAAACCTGCAACATCTGACTAGAAGAGGCCGCCACTGCCAATCGCCGCGAGAATGAATCCACTTTTTCCTGGCGCTGCTGGTGCTGCCGTCCATCTAACCCGAAGAACTGCACCGTCGCCTGCAGTTCTGGTTTCAGTTCCATGTCCAACAAAGGCCAGTAGTTCTCCGACCTCAAAACTGTTCTGAAGCAGAATGCAGCGGCGCAGAAATGAGTTTCATATAAGTATAGCCCAAGAGTAGATTGAGGTGCTAAGGAAACCGAAATTTGAACTTCCACAAAGTTCCACAAAGTTCTGGGGTCTCTGACTTTGGCTGTTCAGTTGTTTCCTCCAGCAGTGGCTCTTGGGTATCTTCTGTTAGCTCTGGCGAAAGCTCTTCTGAATCCTGGCACACCAGGTTTAGCCATTTGGTGCAGTACCACAATAAAATCCGCCGACCCCTGCCTAGTTTTGGCCTAGGCGGGGCGGCGCCTGGGATCACCGCAAGTGTTTGGCATTGCTGCGCGCAGGCCTTTCCATTTACTTTGCTTCTCTTCGCCCGTCCAAGCTGGTACGAGTCGGTTCCTTCCTTGCGCTGCTAAGGGCAACTAGGGCCTTGCTCCATTTTCTTAAGCCTTCCAAGCTGCTAGGTTCTACTCCAAGCTGCCCGGTCATGTCTCTATTAAGGGTTTCGAAACTGCCGTTTGGCACTTTTTGTTGTACCAGGGCCAACCCTTGCCCCAATTTCTTAAGCCTTCCAAGTTGCTAAGTTCTACTCCAACCTGCTCGGTCTCGAAGCTGCTCTTTGGCACTTTTGGTTCTACTAGGGCCACCCCTTGCTCCAATTTGTTAAGCCTTCCAAGCTGCTAGGTTCTACCACAAGCTGCCCGGTCATGTCTCTACTAAGGGTTTCGAAACTACCGTTTGGCACTTTTGGTTCTACTAGGGCCAACTCTTGCCCCAATTTTCTTAAGCCTTCCAAGCTGCTAGGTTATACTCCAAGCTGCCCGGTCATGTCTCTTTTGAAGATTTCGAAGCTGCTGTTTGGCACTTTTTGGTTCTACTAGGGCCTACCCTTGCCCCAATTTCTTAAGCCTTCCAAAGCTGCTAGGTTCTACTCCAAGCTGCCCGGTCATGTCTCTATTAAGGGTTTCGAAACTGCCCTTTGGCACTTTTGGTTCTACTAGGGCCAACCCTTGCCCCAATTTCTGAGGCCTTCCAAAGCTGCTAGGTTCTATCTACTCCAAGCTGCCCGGTCATGTCTCTATTAACGGTTTCGAAACTACCGTTTGGCACTTTTGGTTCTACTAGGGCCAACCAAGGTGTTAGGTTCTACTCCACGCTGCCCGGTCATGTCTCTATTAAGGGTTTCCCGGTCATGTGTCCATTAAGGGTTTCCAAACTGCCGTTTGGCACTTTTGGTTCTACTAGGCCCAACCCTTGCCCCAATTTCTTAAGCCTTCCAAAGCTGCTAGGTTCTACTCCAAGCTGCCCGGTCATGTCTCTACTAAGGGTTTCGAAACTGCCGTTTGGCACTTCTGGTTCTACAAGGGTCTCCTTGCCCCACCTTCTCCAGCCTTCCAAGCTGCCCGGTCATGTGTCTATTTATTCGTCACTGATGGCGGCATTGAAGCTGCTCACTCAGCCTCAACGATGGTCGGATTGCATTGAACCGGCGGCTGCATGCAGCAAAACAAAATGCAAAACTTTCCTTTTACAGGGGGTCGGCGGCACTTGGACGTTAGCCCTTTTATTATATAACTGTCAACTGGAAGTCAACTGGTTGATTTTTGGGCGCCCAAACGTTATGTCCAAAGACTAGAAATCCATTGAAATCCGGCCAAACATGTCATCTTTATCTTAGCAGGCTTCAAGGACAAAGCACCTCTCTGTGTCACATCCAATGAGCATCTGCATTAGCCACTTTGCAACATTGCCTTACCCATGCCGCGCCCTCTCAACACGAGCATTTCAACAGGTGCCTTCCCTGCTCCCAGTTGCTCGGCATCTTGCTCTTCTTCTTCGAATTCATCTTCATACGTTTCTTCCGCCTCGTCCCTGCACAGGACAAACATCAAACGTGTACAGTGTACAGATCAACATACTTCAACCATCTTCAACCAGCTTCAACCAAGTATTGTCGTGACACCATGACCAGCTATCCCCACGGTGATATTCAGAGCACTGTTTTCAGTGGAGCCCAGAGAAATCACTGCAATCACCGTGTGCCTCTGCTCATCCTGAGGCATCGCAGGCCCAAGATCTCTCTCCTGAAGGGCAAACACAGCCAGGCGGTGGTGCCGCAATTAGCGCAGCGAAATCGCAGAAACCTCCAAAGAGGTCATCATTGGCAAGGTATCAGCTTCCTGCCAAAGCTGACGTGAGCAGTTGACCAACATTGACTAACCAAGTTCTTGGATACTAGATGATACTAGATGATAGTAGTTTGCACCAATGCAGTGACTCTGGTGCGCGCATCAGGTCAATCTTATTTAGCATTGATGAAACAAGTAAAAGGTCTACGAATCATCTTTAACAAAACCCTCAGCATTCGGTGTGAATTGACACATGCCTCTGAATGCGGGGATGTTGCAGCCTGAGACCGCAATGCAAATGTGTACAGTACGTGACATGTGCAGAAATATCTGCCATCCATATAGGGTAAAATCCATCATTCTCTTGGTATAATGTGCCAAAAACTAGGAGCTTGGGACTGGCAAAAACCTTCAACTGCCATCCATCCTGGATTTCCCACGGTCGCTGTATCTTGGGCCCCAACCATAGCATGGTCAAACAATGCCTGAGCCACGACCGCCACCTCCGGTGCCATTCCTCCAGCCTCGATTAACACCAGCAGCATAAAGAACATGATTTGTAGTAGACCTATTATACATATATAACATATATACATATATACGTACATACTTCATTACATGACATGACATTACATAACATTGCATAACATAACATTACATTGCATAACATAACCTAGCACTACATAACATTACATAACATAGCATTACATAACATTCCATAACATATATGTATGTGTATATATATATTGCATAGCATAGCATTGCATAGCATTACATCACATTACATAACATAATATCACATAATATTACATAACATAACATAACATTCCATCACACATATATATATATATTGCATAACATAGCATTACATAGCATTACATACCATGATATTATTACATAACATGGCATTACATAATAATATAAAGCATAACATAGCATAGCATACCATATCACTACATAACATTACATTACATTACATAACATTACATTGCATTGCATTACGCTCTTTTATTAGTTTTGTGTGTGTGTGTGAAATACTACAAATTAACCATTTGTGGGTTCACTGTTATCCCAAGTTTGGCCACATGGAACCAGGCAGCAACACCCCCCGAGGCATGCACCATGGCGTGAGCCAATAAAGCTCGCGCCACCTCCAAGAAGTGGGGTATCAACCACAATGGGGATATACTGGAATATAGAACTTATATAACCAACAATATGGTTTCTGGGTTTGTCCAAAAATGAGGTATACCCCCCTTTTTCTGTGTAAATATATATATATATATTGCTATATACGTGTATATATATATATAGAGCCATTTCAATGGGAAACATGATGGTTCACCGGTTCACCAATGGATTTAGCTACTTTGTAACCGTTTGTAACCAATTTTCAGACAAACCATGAGAAACCGTACACAGTTCGTAGCTGTTGTGTGGTAGTGTTTGCTACTGGCAAATTTGTTGTACAATACTATTTGATAAGACCCGCGGCAGTTTGGTTTAGAATCGGGTAGCAAGCTCTTCCAACAGCTGCAAGTCGCCTGGTCAGTTGGCGACAACTCTTCCTCAGACAAAGCCGCTGGGGCAGGCTTCGTTTTCAGAGCGCAGGGTCAAAAAATTGTTTCAACTCACTTTTTTCCAAACGGTTACCCCATAAATTCCTCAACGCTTGAGGAAGCCACCAACTCTTCAGGCTCATCCAACTCTTCACCTGCGCCAAATCACCAGACAGGCTGTACGCATTTCCGAAAATTGTGGAGGCCCAAATTCGTAATTTTGTTACCTAAAATGAGCATGATGCAAGGGATTATGGCAACTGCCGTATGGAGCCCATTTTTTGGATACACCCAAAAATATGTATATAATGACAAAAGACTCGATTCTACCGGCCTTCTTGGAAGCCAGTCTGCCTCCAAACACGCCTTG